CACACTCAGTCTCTCACACACACTCAGTCTCTCACACACACTCAGTCTCTCTCAGTCTTTCATAGTCTCACACACACTCTCAGTCTGAGTCTGTCTCTCTCAGTCTCTCTCTTTCATACACACACTCACACACACTCTCACGAACACTCACACACACACTCACACACTCTCAGACTCAAACACACATTCTCACACTCACACACAGTCTCTCTCACTCTCTTCTCCCTGTAGTACCTGGCAACATAAGGACTTAACAGTTGTCCCAGGCACAGGACTGGGTTTTGGGGTGGGGGTGGGGGCATGAATCCAAGTTGAAGGGGCCTGTGAGGCAGGAATATTCAGAAGACAGTTGGTGAACTACATGTCCTGGAGCTGGTGAGGTCTGGACAGGGTTGCACACAGTGGTGGGAGCTGAAGTCGGAAGCATGGGTGAGGTCACCCAGGGATGCAGTAACACGCAAGAAGAGGGCTCAAGAGAGACCCTTCAGGGAAAATCTAAGAAATGTGTAGAAAAACAAGAGCCCACAAGGGACAAATTTTAAAACCAAAAAACCCACCAGAAAACAAGAAGTCTCGCAGAGTGTTACAACAGAAGACCAGGGAGAAGAGGCCGGACTGTCACGTGCCACAGTAAAAGCACAGCTGACGTCAGAGCACAACTACATGCCAAGCCCTGTCTCGGACGCTGTCTACAGATCGTCCCATCAAGATGACAGGCGAGTCTCCACTCGGTGACTTCACCGAGAGCAATTCCAGTGAGGGGACAATATCTGGCCGCAGTGGGCTGAGGTGAAGTAGAGGCCTCTAAAGAGGCTTGCCGTGAAGAACAAACGCAGCAGAGCTAGAGTTGAGCGTGGAGTCAAAAAGAGAACTTTTATCTTTTTCAAGTCAGGCAGCAGATTTTGATGCCGAGGGAGAGGATCTGAGGGCGAGGGAAAGGCTGGAGAGGCCCCAGAAGAGCTGGCATGGAGTAAGAGGGCTGGGGGCAGGGGCAGATGCGGAGCCCAGGAGGAGGCTAAGCCTTGGGCAGGCAGCCCGCCTTGCCACTGCGCCTCACACCTAGCAGGCAGTCATACTGTTAGGTGATGGGAGGGAAACACGATAAAAATGACAAAAACTGCAAAAATGTTCTGGGGGGGAGGCGGGAGGGATGTAAGGGATTTCGTGCCTTTCGCCTCTTATTTTCTTTAGGGAAATGGGAGGCAAGATGGCCTTCTGAGGAAGATGATGAAGCAAGAAGGGCAAGAAGAGACATCAGGTCTGAAATGACTTATGGTGTGAGAGGGAAATTATTATTATTATTATTATTAGAAATTATTAGAAAATGGCCACCAAGCAGAACATACGCCAGTGCCCACATAAATGGGCAGATGAGCAGCCAACAGGGACACAGAACACCTCACTCTTTAGACAGGCCTCTCCGTGTGCAGCTACTAACGCCACCATCTCCCTCATGTGATGTTCTGGGCCCCCGGCTGGGGAGGGACCAGCCGACGGAGCATCGCTTTTCAGGCAACATGTCCTTACACCAGCACCACCGTTATGGATTGTGTCCCCCCCAAATATATGTCAACTTGGCTACGCAATGATTCCCAGTATTGTGTGACTGTCTACGATTTGTCATCTGATGTGATTTTCCTATGTTATAAATCCTATCTCTATGATGTTAATGAGATGGGATTAGCAGCAGTTATGTTGGTGAGACACAATCTACAAGACTGGATTGTGTCTTAAGCCAATCTCTTTTGAGATATGAAAGAGAGAAGTGAGCAGACAGACATGGGGTCCTCATACCACCAGGAAAGCAGCACTGCGAACAGAGCGCATTCTTTGGACCCAGAGTTCCTGCACTGAGAAGCTCCCAGTCCACAGGAAGACTGACGAACAAGGACCTCTCTCCAGAGCCAAAAGAGAGAGAAAACCTTCTCCTGGAGCTAGTACCCTGAATTTGGACTTCTAGCCTACTAGACTGTGAGAGAATAAACTTCTTTATTGAAGCCATCCACTTGTGGTATTTTCTGTTGCAGCAGCACTAGATGACTAGGACAACCACCCACAGGGCTGAGAAGAAAAGGAGGGGCTTCTCTTGTTATAGAAAAGGGCAGAGACTGACCTAGCGATTAGGGCCATTCCTTCACTCCAAAGTTTAACCTGCCCCTGCTGTGTGGCCCACAGGAAACATCAGGGAAGAAAAGAAAAAAGGCCTGCTCCTGCAGAACTCATCACTCCAGTGAGGACAGACAGACCAAAAGAAAAGCAAAACCACTGCCAACTGAAAAGCCCAGAGAATTAAGCAGCTGTAGGCAGTCAAGAAATCAAATGACCACTGCATTAGGCAAATCTACTGCAAAAGATCTCTTTTAAGTGTTAAAGAGCAAAGATGTCACTTTGATGACAAAGGTGTGCCTGACCCAAGCCATGGTCTTTTCAGTCACCTCATATGCACGCATAAGTTGGTGAGTGAGAAAGGAAGACAGAAGAACTGATGTGTTTGAACTGTGGTGCTGGTGAAGAATACTAATATACCGTGGACTGCCAGAACAATCAGTCTTGGAAGAAATACAACCAGAATGCTCCTCAGAGGCAAGGATGAGGAAACTTCAGCTCACTTACTTTGGATACGTCTTCAGGAAAGACCAATGAAATCTCTAGGAAAGCAGGTGGTCAGTGAAAACAAGGGAAACCCTCCATGAGAAGGACTGACCCAAGAGCCACCATATGGACTCAAACATACCAACAATCACGAAGATGGTGCAGGACTGGGTCATAAGGTTGCTGTGAGTCAGCTGACTCGACGGTAACTAAGGACAGACATTTTACCAGGCTCTCTGCCCCCCAGAACAGGGTTCTCAACCTCAGAACTATGGAATCTTGGCCAATAGCAGTACTGCCACCACCATCCCACTGCCTTTGTGACAACCAAACATGTCTCAGATATTGCCCTGATTGAGAACCACTTTCTACAAGCAACTCCAAAATAATGCTTTCCTTACCTGTTAAGGACTTCATAAACTTCTGAAAGATTTGAAACCCTTGGGAAATTCAGTTCCTATAATTATGGAAAACAAATCAGGGAGAATAAAACATTTGCACTTTTTATCTACTTCAAGTGTCATCAAACGCCCATTAAAATGGCCTGGAAAATGCTAACTCCTACAACTTCCTCTTTTCAAATATTATAACTGTCCTCATTCCTTAATTATGATGTCAGGGTACCTAGTATCCTTGGGTTTCCTGTAAGGGTCCCAATAACCCAGGCTGGGGGGAGGGGCGGGGGGAAGCACAGAAACCAGCTCATACCATCTCCCTTAGAAGACAGGTTTGGAAGGGATTCTATATAAACACAGGAATCCAAGGTACTAGACCCAGGCCAAAAACCTATACTGAGAACACCAAGCGGTACAAGAACCATGGAGCAGTGCCAGGTTAATACATTCTCCAAGTTCTGTCTCATCTTGTTGGAAAGGAGCACATACCAGGTCCATCAGACCAGTCCCAAATCCTTCCCATTGCATCCCTGACAGGCATCATAGAATGCTTTCCTCACTAAAATACATCAAGTATGAACAACAGATGCCTCTGTGGGCCAAAATGTACCAAGTAACCCATTCCCATTTTGGTGGTTCCCTTCCTGAATAGTGATCTGGTTCCCTTTCTCTGTTCCTCAGTTTAATTTCTAAGCATTTAAATCAGTTGGGTCCTTCCCATTTCCACATGGACGCCCTGCCTGCACATGAGAATCACCTGGGCCCCACTGAAGTCAGATGAGAAGCTGAGCCCAGCTTCTAGGCCCAAGAATCAGTATTTAACTTCCCAGGTGATTCTACTATGCTGTCGGGGTTGAGAAGCCATTCCCTCAAGGCCAGGTAAAGGTGATGTTTCTCAGGAGTTTAAGAGGGAACCCACCCTGATGCTCTTTAAGCACTCTGCAAATATTAGGCAGGTTATCAAGCTCTAGAATACACTGTTCTGTTGTCCAATCTAAGCAAGCACCTGAACTATACACAAGTAAGTGAAAACATGGAAACTTGAGTAAAGAAGGAAAGAAAGTAATATATAAGCTAATATGACGATCCTGAGGTGCCAGAATACAAAAGGAAATTGATACCAGTTTAAAAATAAAGGGGTTCAAAGAACATTTTTAAAAAGAGAAAGAGCTAAGTGTTATGGGACCAGCAAGGTTTTCCTTAACCCAGAGAAATTTCATTAGCTTACCTTCCAGATATCCTTTGTGACAGTCTTCGTGTCAATGAGAATAGGAAACAGGTGACGGATATTCAGCTTAAACTGATCGTAGCTTTCTGAGGAGAGAGACCCAGAGAATCAGAAGTGAGCTTCTTTGTTGGTAAAAATGGTGAGGAAAATTCTCCAACCAACTTTAAATAAAGTGAGCAAAAACAAAATAAAATAGGAATTGAAAGTGTCCTTTAATCTTATCGAGGATTTCCAGTCTCCAACCAACCCGCCATCATGGTATCTAGCAGTAAAACCCAATGATTTCCACCAAGTCAGGATGTTTTCAACTGCCAGTGGCTAACAGAGTTGGGGAGTTCTAGCCAACCGAGTAAGAGGAGGAGGAACAGAGGCGTGACTGGAAACGCAGAGAGGAAATCATCGTTTGTAAATGACTGTTCGGAGAAAATCCAACAAAAACCAACTAAAATTCATTATAATGAGAAGTGGCCTGATAAAAGAAAAATAAAAACTATTAATCGGTGTATTTATCAAAGTTATACAGGCACACCATGTAAAGAGCTTCACTGCAGAACAAACTAACAAGTGCAATCCCGTTCCCTCTACCCTCCCATTTCCTATTCTCCAAAGGCAGCCACTCCCAATTGATTCTTTTGCTGTTTAATTCCTGCCTCTAAGTAGCATGCTTATGCTGCTAGTTGATTTTTTTTGTTCTAGACGCTTAGCTGTTGACTTCCCGCTAGGTAAGACGCTCATTCACTCCTTCATTCGGCCTCCACCATCACACACATTCCCCAGCACTCTCTCCCTTCCTTGCCGTGCCACCATGTCATCTCATCATTACAACCACAGCACAGCAGTCAAAGGGCTGGGATAGTCTACACCAACTTTTCCTTTCTTATACAGCTTTTGTTCTCCCAGGGATTCTTTGTTTGTTTTGCTGTTGACCTAGTTTTTTAGCGAGTGCTTATTATTAATTTTACCCGATTCTCCCCCAATTCTCCCAATCTTCTCTCAATATGCTCAAACTCAGGTGTTTTATCAATTCATTTCTTGGGGAAATGTCTCCTGGAATCTTTCACCCCTTTTAATCTAGACTGCTGTTCTCTTTACATTTATTAATTCATTTAATCCCCACAACAACTTTATGATACGGGTACTATTACTATCCCCATTTAACAGGTAAGGAAACTGAAAAGAGAGACATTAAAGCAACCTGCTCAAGAGGACTCATATACTGGGTCGGGGAGAGGATTCAGGCAGAGCTCTGGAGGCCAAGCTTCGACCATTCCGTACCCGCCACATGCCCAACAACAGACTCAGTCATGGGAACTGGGATATGGCCTAAGGCAGTACCAACACAGCCATTAAAAGGACATTTACAAGGTCTACAATGGCATAAATGCTTCGGGTTAAGTGAAAACAAGCCAATACATAATGTAATTAAACAGGTGAAATCTCACATCAGAGGAGAAAACAGAAGTGTTAGGACTAGAACTGAGATTATAGGTGACTTCTCTCCTTCACACATTTCTGGCGTTGTCCATGTGCACAGCGGGAGTGAAGATGTCTGTAATGGGGGATGGGAGTCAATTTAAAGTGGATCTGTTCCTCTCCCTTGAAGTCTCCTAGCTTCCGCTCCAGAAACACAGTAACAGCAGAGTAAAGGCCCCTGCCCGACCTCTCCAGAAACCGCAGACACCTGGAGGAGTGTGCACTTCAGGGGGCTACTTCAGGAGCACAACTGGGGACCACTCCCCTTGCCAGATGGCACATGGGGACAAAAGGAAAGGAGAAGGGCAAACACGTCCCTACCTGGGAGAGGCCTGAAGAACTTCTCGTGAAGATGCAGCAGATCCATCATCATGTTATGTCCCACTAATGGCTACATGGAGTAAATCCACAGGTTAGAGAAATGAATGAAAAAAAACAGAACAGACACCATAGATGAACAGCGGTTTCTGGCAAAGGATTTAGCTTTAGAACTTTTGGCAAGTCTAGTCACTGGATCATCCATCCTCACCCTCACCCCACCCCCACGAGAGGCAGCCCAACTGCTTAAGTGCCTATGAAAGAACAGACAGAAGAAAGTAGTAGGGGCGCGGGGCAGGATCCTGGGGAAGACACACGCAGTCCCCAGGTGGCTTTAGGTCAATCAGTACTGAAATCCCTATGTACCTCGAAGGAACAAAGAAAGAGTAATGCTTCGTATGGGACAGCCTTTCCCCAAAGTAACCTACTGTCATTTGGTGAAAGCAAGGTTAGATCCAGGAGACCACCATCAGTGAGAAGGATCACTTAAGTTAAGGAATCTGAGTTTGTTGGTGATGGATCTATCAGTATCTATAGCATCTACAAAACACTGCCGAAAAGCCAAGAAAAAGAGATTCATTTCTCCCCCTACCTTCTGGGCTTTCACCAGCATCTGGAAAAAGACAGAAAACCCCCTTGCAGAGAGAAGAATCTTCTCCTTCCAACAGCTCTCTCGCTCACAAGAAGTGTTCTCGAGACACCAGCGATGTTGTTTACTCACTTTCTTCACTGTCACCTGAAGTAAAAAGTAAGGTCAAGGTCCCGGAATCCCGGCTTACTGGTTACCACGAACGAAGGCAAGAGAAATGGTTCTTCATCTCAAAACAGAAGAAAGCAGCAAGAGAAGCCTTTCACAGAGGCCAGTGTGGCCCACAGAGAGAGACACTGGAGCCGCTAAGGACTCCCCATCCCAAGCAGGAACTCACCACTTGGTCCTTCAGGACCGTCCAGACGTTGGAGAGGGCTTGCCGCAGTACTAACTGGACCTCAAAGGCCTGGAATCCTGTGGAAAGGAGACAGGCTATCACAGAGTGCCACCACAGACCTGGAACAGCATCCCACTTCCCCCGGAAAAGCAGCCCAGGGAAGAGCTAACGGATGGAGCAAGCGAAAAAAGGCAGCTCCCCAGTTTCCTGAAGCTCCAGAGTCCCCGTGATCACGGCATGATCTAGTGCAGCTTCTCAACGTTTCTGGTCTCAGGGCCACTCAAGTTACTGAGGACCCCAAAAAATGTTTGTCTGTAAGAGTTACAGGTATTGACATCTACCATGTTAAAAATAAAACCTCTAAGTTAACTTTTTGAAATTTTCTTTTAAAGTAACAATAAACCCATGGTACATTAGCATAAGTAACATTTTTAATGAAAAGTAAGTACTTTTCTCACTAAACAAATTGAGTGAGATGACTGGCATTGTTTTACATTTTTGCAAATCACTTTAATGTCTGGCTGGAATCTTTTTATCTGCTTCTACATTCAAGCTGTTGTAATAGGTTGCTGTCATGGAAGCATGCAATGAAAATGCAGCCTCAAACAGATAATGCAGTTAGAAAAGGGAAAGAATTACCAGCCTTATCAAATTACTCTGCAAATTCTTCCTTAATACTGCACCAAAACTCAACAGGTGATAGTTTCTTAAAGATTAGTTGCAATGTAGAATCTGACAATGAACTTCCCGTACTGTTACATGAAAACCCACTGGTCTGTCTTGCACTTTGAATGGATCTTTTACCCATAATTTTATAACATCACGATTGGTTGTTTGGAAAACACTGGTTTGCTAAGTTATGCAGGTCTTCCAAATGGGCACGCATTTCATTACACGATACCAACAAAAGACCCTGGTAACTATCCCCACACTGATCTCATCAGGAAAGGCCCTGGGAACTGTCAAGCTTACGGTGATAGATGCAAGTTTTCCAAATTTTCAGGTTTTGACTGAAAGCTCAAATTTTATCACTAATAAATACTGTCAGTTATTTTCCTTCAAGTGACAGACTCCTTTTCATCTGAGAAAATGAAAAACACCTAAGTCTAAAGAACCCGTTCCTCCAAGTGAGGATGATGCGTGAAAAAGAGTGGCTAATCCAGCTGTCAGCTCGAAACCACGTAAGCGCTTCTCAAGACAACACCGGTACGCACTTACGGACACAGCGGCAGTGTTTGATGCACACTTATTATGACACGCTGAATATTAAAAAGACGTGTGATCAAAGACGGAGATTTAATAAAATCAATAATTATTTCTTCACCAAGCAGCTTAAGTAAAACTGACTTGCTCTTTTTAACTGCATGCACGTGGTTGGCGCCACAGGTTTACCTAGCACTGCTGCAGCACCACCTGTGCGAACGGCGAAGTGGTAACGGCAAGCAGTACCTGATTTTCTGACAAGCTCTGATCTCCTGGAAAGGGTCTCAGAGAGCCCCAGGTCCACAGATCAGACAAGACGAACTGCCTGTCTAGGGCACGTTCATTCTGAGTCCACGTTTCATCGTGGGGAAAGGTTTCAGAGATTAAGGAAAGTGCTTAAGATCAAAGAACACAGGGCGGTCAGGGTCGGTGTTACGGACTGAACTGTGTCTCCCCAAAATATGTATTGTCAATCCTAACCTCTATGCCTGCGGTTATAATCCCACTTGGGAAAGGGCTGCCTTTGTTACGTTAATGAGGCAGGACTGGTGCAGTGTTCTGAGCTATAAAGGAGACTAACAAGCAAGCAAGTGAAGCAGATGGTGTAAAAGAGATGCCAAGACACATGGAGATCTCCAAGGAACCAGGAGCAGATGCTAAAGAGACAAGGGCCTTCCTCCAGAGCCAAGAGAGAGAGAAAGCCTTCCCCTAGAGCTGGCACCCCGAATTCAGACTTCTAGCTTCCTAAAACTGTGAGAAAATAAATGTCTGTTTGCTAAAGTCACCCACGTGTGACATTTCTGTTATAGCAGCACTAGCTAAATAAAACAGTCGGCATAAAAAGGACGGCTCTGAACAGAAATTTACTTCCTAGCCTTAATATTCAAAGTAGCTAAAAAGCCTCCAGCTTTTCTATTCAGGCCAGAGCTTTGTCTAAGCCCAGAGCTACTTATCTTCTCAGCTAACACTGGCATCAGGCCCACTGGTTGGGGATCCGGGCCCAGGGACCCAGGGGAAGAGACAGCCCACTATCCCAAATGGCTGGCCCATGATAGGGGCCTGCCCCAACGCCCCTCACGCCTACCAGCGATGCCAGGGAGAGTCATCCAATCGCCTTCCTCCGCCAGGGCCAGCCACCGCGTCACTTTGTCAATTACCACCTTGATTTGGTCTTTATCCAAAGAACTGAAAAGATGGCACAGGAAAGCGGAAACATTAGTGACATCACGCTAGAACTATAAGACAACCTCGAATGGGTCCGAGATCGCCAGTGTTGACACTGGGAGCTAGGGAAGAAAATGGACCCCAAAAGTTCATTTATTTCCAGGTCTCATCATGCCACCGGAAGCCAGACCCTTGGCCCACGTGCTTCCAAGCGTTCCTGGGAACACATCAGGTCCCGTTTCACTTCCCTAGGACTTCAGAGGAGAAGGTACAGGGATTTGGTCAGTACTGGGCGTTGCTATCAGTACTGGCTCTTTATGCCACTTTCAGAGGTGGGGAAGCACCACTTGGTGAACAAGGGAAGGGCAGAGGCTCCAGTCAATATACCCTCTCCTGGGTTAGAGATATGAGAACATCATGTTATCTGGAGATAAGACCTTTTCCCAACACTTCAAAATAACAGAAGGTTGAAGACTCAAACTGTGTTTTTCCAGTACAAAGAGCTACATTTTAATATGAAAACCACCAACTAGGATTAAAAAAAAACAACAAAAACTCCAACAATACATAAAAGAATTACTGGACCAGATAATCAATCATAACATTTCAGAGTTACAAGCTAATTTAACTCCCTTCATGATAAAGGGAAAAAAATCTAAAGCCCAAAAGAGCTTAACTGACTTGTTCACAATCACCCACCGAGTTCAGAACAGTGGCCGGAGCAGCACTCAGCAGCCTGCTCTGCCTGTCACACCACCCTGCTCTGCCTGTCACACCACCCTGCCCGCCCACCTTGGTCACCCAGACTCTTAACTCCACAGCAGTCCTGGGTTTAAGTACAAAGTCTCAAGGACTATGCTTGGTACTGGGACCAAAGACAGGAGGCAGATATCCTGTCCTGAGGGAACACCAGAGCCAATCCACCCACGCCGAGGCATGAGTTCGTAAGTCCGTGCACAGCGCACAACTCGGGCAGCCAAAGTTACCCAGGATCCACCCTTCGAGCAGTCCTGGGGTTCTCTCTTCCTCACCCCGCTCACAGCGCCAATCGTGCAAACCAGTCCAAGGAAACTAAGATCACCCACCTCTGACGCCAGATTGTGCAGTGGATGACGGGTCCCACCCCGCACACCAACTGCATTATTTGGAAATCTCAGCTTCCCTTCCCTGTTCAGTTCAGACCCTAGCTACTCACGCAAGCCTCCCGTGCCCCAGCCACCCAAGGACGGGCCATTGGATACCGGCTGCAAGCTTGGGAGCCCCTCTGGACTCCCTCCACTTCCAGCTGTCTGCTCCCCCTGTTCCTCTGGGTCCAATAATGCGCTGGAACAGTTCATGGAGCTGGCAGAAGACACCATACCTGCAGTAACAGCTTTAATATAACAAACAGGATACAAATGAAGAGACACATAGGGCAAGGTCCAGGAGGGCTCCCAGTTCAGAACTTCTACGTCGCCGGGAAACGTACTTACTCTCCTGAGAGCAGGTATTTGCTCTCACCAACCCAGAAGCTCCCCTGAGCCGCCGTGTTCCACGGCCTTTATTGGCCAGTCCACACGTTCATTATGTCACCAGCTGGGCTCCCTAGCCAGACGGGCGCCCAACAAACCCTCAGGTGTAGTCGAGACACCTCAATTATTATGAGATCCCTTACAGTGATTCTTCCAGAAACCAAGGGCCAAGGCCAGGTGAGGGGATTCACTGCCCCACACCCCTCAGAAGATCCCAGGGAAGACCAACCCAACATCTCCCAGTAGTCTGACAGAGCCTTTGTTCTTCCCTCCGGTGCTGGAACACAGCTCCTGTTTCTTTATATGAGCACCCAATTAAGAGTCAGTTTTTTCTTTGTCCTTCACTTTTAAACACTAAAACCACACTCAGTGCAGGGAGAGGGTCACCTGGGAGCTGGACCTGATGGAGGAGACAGCTGAACACCATTTTTCACCTCAAGTGTAGGAAAGGAATCATCAGCCCCACAGAGGGTCTATTCTGACTAAGCACACGCGTCTTCTCATCAGCTTTCTCCTGCCAACAGTGTACCCAGTGGCGGATTATCCAACAGGCTAGGTAAGCACAGTGCCTTCCCTGCTTACCAGATGGTGTATAGTGAACAATTTCACAATTTTCACCACATCAAAGACTCTGCTTCTAGGTATGGCTGGCATCTGTCTCTCTCTCAAACCCATAGCACCTTCCTGCAGAATCTTGTTCTTAACCACTGCAGCACCAGGGACCCACAGATTAGTAAATAAGCACACATCAGCCCGTGCATACCTTGCTTACTGGTTAACCCGTCCGTGTGACTGTAGTGAACGATTTCTTGTGGGTTTCACCAACAGTGACGGATTAACCAGTAAGCAGGGTACGCACAGGCTGATATGTAGGTACCTTTGATGTAGTGAAACCCATGTGAAATCATTCAGTACAGCTTGGTAAGTAAGTGCAAGTCAGCCCATGTCTATCTTGCTTACTGGTTCATCTGTCCCTGTCAGGACTGTAAACTTGAAAAGAGGTTTTGAATCTGTACGAAGGTGCTGTGGGTTTAGGAGACAGACGCCAGCCATACCTAGAAGCAGAATCCAATTTCACCTGGGTTTCACCACCAAGAATGGATTAAAAAAATTTCACATGGGTTTCATCGCATCTTTGGTTGGTAAATTTTTCAGTACAGATTAGTAATTATGCACAAATCAGCCCATGCGTACCTTGCTTATTGGATAATCCCGGCCCTGAGCGTACCTATCCACAGGAATGACAAAATCCAAAAGACACTGGGTGAAATCGGCTCTACCTGCGAACTCTCCAGTTCCCGCTCAGGATACTATGTTTAATTTTCTTCTCCTGTTCTTCATTCATATATGGGATTCCATTTTTGAGAAACTAAAAAAGCAAGGAGAGTGGTCTGAGTATTCTCTGTGCCAGGAGTGAAAAGAAGCCTTTCCGTTCACGTGAACAAGTAAGACAGGGGAAAGAAAAGCTGGACGACAGACCAGTTAGAGCAGATAACTTTTGTAACGGTCCCACTTCCCTCCTCCAGTGCCATACCTTGTTATAGTCAAAGCCATACTGATTCAAGAATTGAACACTAGAAGCCTGGAAAGAGAATTCTGAATCCAAAATCCCAAACGTTGTAGGGAAGAGAAAGAAGTTACACGAATGGGCTACATACCTATAAAAAAGAGAAACAGAAGGAGAAAAAGCCGAAACCATGTGTCACATGCTGGCTCGCGAAGCAGGCTTCGGAGCGGGCTCTGAACGTCTGCTATGTTTCAAGTACTATGATTGGCACTGAGGGACCAAAGAGATGAGGCACAGACTTGCCCTCAGGGAACAGTCTCCACAGGGACAGACCGTGAACGCTGTACTGTGACAGATGGCGTCTGCCCTGACAGATGGAACGTCCCTTCTGACTGGTGGGGGCCTGCCATCTACCAGGTCGGCATTTTAAACATCACCCTCATCATAACACGCTGTGGTAATTGCTCTAACGAAGGTGCACAGACCAACAACGGAAACAGGGAAGGGGGCACTAGGGCACAGAGCAGGGTGTCGGGAAAGGCCCCGCAGGAAAGGCACTGCTTCCGGAGACTGGCAGGGTGAGCTGGGATTCACAGAGGAGGACACGGAAGCAGGAGGGAATATGGAGCGTCTGTGGCACAAGGGTCAGCCACCTGCGGTAAAACTTGAAGGGCAGCAGTTGTAGAAAATAAACGAGCAAGAGCCGCATGTTTTGCAAAAGGTCTTTATACATACTTGTTGGACTCTCCTTTGACACTGGAAAACACAGACAACCCTAGAAAAATGACAATAGAGAGAATAAATACCTAGGCGACCTGAAGTTCCCCACAAAGACAAAACATTCTGGGCAGTGCTTTGCATCCCAAGATACTACCCTGGGCTTTAGAATAGTGTAACTTAACGTTTAAAAAAAAGGAGAAAATTAGAAAGTCAAATCTTTAGGCACATTCTTGCCTCAGGATAAACATTAACGAACTCTAATCGACTCACCACAAAAGCATGATATAGTGGAAGAGTCAAGAACAGTTCAAGCCGTCAGAGCCACAGAGAGTTGTTTCAGAAGACAATCAGCCTCATAATTCAAAAAAGTTCATTATTTTCCAACATACTAACTTACAAACAGCACATTTAGTTGAAATCTTACTTAAAAAAAAAAAACCGATAGGAAAACAAAAATAGGCAACTACTACACACACCACACACACACACACACACACACACACAAATTCAGCCTATTGAGTCTAGGCAGGAGGAAGATTAAAGACAGATTTGAAGTATGTTAACTATGGAATTGTAACTCACACCGAAATTGCTGAAGTATAATTGTGGATGGTTCTTCAAAGTAAACATTAAATTAACAATTTTACAGTTTCAGAACCAACCAGAGGAAACATCGGAAACCCTAAAGTGAAAGATTTATACATTTAGCTGCTTTAAGATGTCTGTATTGTTCCAAAAAAGCCACACACAAAGTGAAAAAGACTTCAAAGTAGGCAGAACAATAGAAACATGTAACCAAGAGCTATTCCTCCGTTCTTTTCAGAGGTCTTAACTGTGAGAAAAGCCACCATAACAGAAAACTAGCAAAGAACAAGAACAGACAATTCAGAGAACAAACATACAGATGTTCACTTTCACTCATATCAAACACATGGGTCAACAAAATCCTGCCCACAGCCTGTTCCTGTGAATAAAGTTTTATTGGCGTGAACAGCCATGTCCGTTCGTTCACACACTATGTATGGCTGATTTCACACTACAGTGGCAGAATTAAGCAGCTGGAACTCAGTCTCTGGGTGATGCAAACAGTTAACAGGCTTGGCTGCTAACCAAAAGGTTGGTAGTTCAAATCCACTCAGAAGCACCTTGGAAAAAAGGCCTGGCAAACTACTTCCAAAAAATCAGCCATTTAAAACCCTGTGGAGCACAGTGCTGCTCTGACACACACATAGCGTTGCCATGAGTCGGAATCAGCTTGGCAGCATCAACTATTTGCTTTGTTTTGTTTTTAACAAAGCCGGTATGGCCCACAAAGCCTAAAACACTATACAGCCCTTTACAGAACAAGTTGGCCGACCTCTGTGTTTTAAAACGTAAATCAAAATAGCAATTTGATCATGTTTCCTCTACTAGGTAGGCAAAAATTTTAAGACTGATAATACCCAGTGTTTGTGAGGGAAACAGACACATTCACTGCTGCTGTTAGTGGAAATCACCGTAAACTCTGTGGATGGTTGGCAGCAAGAGAAGCAGCCCTGGTGCCAGAGTGGTTAAACACTCAGTTGCTAACCTAAAGCTAGGCAGTTCAAACCCACCAGCTGCTCTGCAGGAGAAAGATGTGGCAGTTTGTTTCCATAAAGATTACACAGTCTTGGAAACCCTACTGGGCAGTTCTGCTCTATCCTATAGAGTCGCTATGAATCAGAATTGACTCAACGGCAATGGGTTTGGTTCATAGCTTCAATCTAGTTCGACTCTCTGCTGAGAAGGTGCATTTTCACCCCTAATATACTGAATCAGAATCTACAGTTTAACAAGATCCTCAAGTGATTCTTATGTACACATGCCACACCTGGGGATCTTGTTAAACCGTAGATTCTGATTCAGTATATCTGGGATGGAAACGCACATTCTCAGCAGAGGGTTGAGCTGGAACAAACCGGCTCAAGACACTCGTTTGGTTTTGGGTTGGGCAGGAAGGGGAACGGTTTGACAACACACATCGATACTGTAAAGCACAGGTTCTCTAACACTACCATTCCACTCCTACAAGTACAGCAGATGCATATAATCACAGAAGTGCGTTGTTGTTAGGTGCCATCAAGTTGTCCGACTCACAGCGGCCCTACAGGACACAGCAGAACTCCCCCATAGGCTTTCCAAGGAGCAGCTGGGGGATTCGAACTGCTGACCTTTTGGTTAGCAGCCGTAGCTCCTAACCACTGCACCACCAGTGCTCCAAGTTCTCCATGCCTCCCCGTCAGGAAATCGAACCCTGGTCTCCCGCGTGACAGGTGGGGATGCTTACCGCTATACTAACCACGGCCAAAACCAAAACAAGCCTGCAAAACGATACCCGCTATCTCTAAAAAGTGTCAAAGCTGTTTTTACCAGTAGGACACACAAGGACAGTGAAAGTATCTTTTTCCATAACTCATAACGCACAGCTGAGTGTTTAACTCACCAATCTGACAGATTGTAAATTGCCGGACACTCTGCCGGGTCTTTAGATACCACTCCGATGGCAAATCAAACAGGCTGTAGAAAGAGGCATGTCACTCCACTGGCAATGCTGTCTGTTCTCCCCCTCAGCCCCTCCGCCAGGGCAGCGCTCTTCCCTGTTACACAACTAGGGAACAGACACTCCGGCGTCTAGTGCGCAGGGCCGGCCCGGCACGTGGGGGCGCCCAACATCTAGACGTCCTGCCCCCAACCCGACGCCAAGATGGCACCCGGAGGTGACAGAGATCGGTCACCTCGAAGCTCAGCTCCAAGCCAGCTTTGGCTTTACCTGATCTGCTCGGGCCCGGAGAGGTTGGAGCGAAGGCCGGTGAACTCTATGTCCAGACCTGGGGCGGGCATAAAGAACAAAAGTCCCACGGAGGCCCTGGCACCGGTATTTATGCCCTAAACGCTTCAGGTGGCAAGCGTTCTTGGTGCCCAAGAAGCTAAGTACGATCAGGAGGGGGCATGGAGGCAACCGAAGTACAGAGAGGCCTGGCCATCACGGTCCGTCCGCCTAGCCCCGCTGGGACCAGCGGGCTCTGCCGACAGCGCGGGGGTGTGACGCGCTCACCTCCCTACCCTGGGCGCCCTGGGACCCCCGGGCCGGGCCGGGCCTTCCTTGGAGTGGCGACCCTCAAGGGCGCGGAGACCCAGGCCTGGGCCCGGCGCCCGTCTCTGCTTTCTAGTCTCCCCGTCCGCGGCGCCCCCTGACCTCCCATCCCCTCCCCTCGCCGCCCCCTGCGGGTCCCCACCGGACATCCCCAGCGCCTTACCCACGAAGTCCGCGCCGAGGACCAGCTCCTGCAGCAGGGGCAAAACCTGCTCAAACTCCTTGGCGCCCACGTCCATGGCTACGCACGTCCTAGAAGGCTCCAGTGGAAGCCACGTGGAGCCGCGTGCTCCTCACTTCCGCCCGCCTGCCGGCAGCGCTGCCGCCTTAAAGGGCGCGCACCAGGCCGGAACGGACCACGCTGCCATGGTCCCCTACGCGCAGCCCGGCTCCGTATCTCCCTACAGGTGTTTGAATTTACAACTTGCTCACAAAGGGCTGTAACCTCCGGGTGGTGCAAACAGTTAGCCCACTTGATTGCTAACCAGTCCACCCAGAGGCACTTCCAAAGAAAGGCCTGGAGATCTACTTCCAGAAAACCAGACACTGAAAACCCTATGGAGCATAGTTGTACTCTGACACACATGGGGTCGCCGTGAGTGATTCCCTCCATGGCAACTGGTTTTTTAAACAGCACCTTAAGGAATGGCAAGTGGATACACATGTACTGTAAAGCTGCCGCCGATGAGGCTGGAAGGACCACATATTGTCTGTATTTTAAATCATCATCCCCTTCCCCAACTTCTTCATCAGTGTGTTGGTCTGTCCCCATCCCTTCCACCTGATGCCTTTTCCCTCACCTTGCTTTGTTCACATCACCATTGTCTTTATAATACCTTGTATCATACTTTGCACACAAAAGCCTCAAGAATTGCCCATTAAGTTGAAGAAACCTTAGTTGGTGCGTAGAGACTATCTAGTACAATCATACACCTGAAGAAATCCCCACCGACAGCGACACTTACAAGTGAACCCTTCTTTTGTCACTGCCCATTTCCAAAGCTGCTAGTTCAGTCCATGCTCTTCCTATACTTCCTCCCTTGAGTCCCAGACTTCTGTTTCGACAGCCTTCTCCAACAGTGGTCTTCAAAATGAGGTGCTCACATCAATCTTTAAGACGAGGGAAGAAAATACTGGAATTACATCTTTTAAAGTGTCTCCACTGTGACACTTATTGATCACAAGGGAAAATATTTAAGCAATTGGATTATGAAGGCTTCCCAGAATCAATCACATTTCTTTTAATGTCGGTGCTTACAGATTTGTGCTTACCTTTTAAAAATGGAATACTCAATTGGGGAAAAGACAGTCTCTTTAACAAATGGTGCTGGCATAACTGGATATCCATCTGCAAAAAACTGTAACAAGACCCATACCTCACACCATGCACAAAAACTAACTCAAAATGGATCAAAGACTTAAATATAAAATCAAAAACAATAAAAATCATGGAAGAAAAAATAGGGACAACGCTAGGAGCCCTAATACATGGCATAAACACAATATGAACCATAAGTAACAATCTACAAGCGCCAGAAGAGAGACTAGATAACTGGGAGCTCCTAAAAATCAAACACTTATACTCATCAAAAGACTTCACCAAAAGAGTCAAAAGACAACCCTACAGACTGGGAAAAAATTTTTGGCTACAAATCTGATCAGCATCTAATCTCTAAAATCTACAATATACTGCAAAACCTCAGCAACAAAAAGACAAACCCATTAAAAATAGGCAAAGGATATGAACAGGCACTTTGCCAAAGAAGATATTCAGGCGGCTAACAGACACATGAAGAAATGCTCAGTATCATTAGCCATTAGAGAAATGCAGATCAAAACTACAATGAGATATCGTCTCACCCCAACAAGGCTAACATTAATCCAAAAAACACAAAATAATAAATGCTGGAGAGGTTGTGGAGAGACTGGAACATTTATACACTGTTAGTGGGAATGTAAAATGGTACAACCACTTTGGAAATCAATTTGGCACTTCCTTAAAAAGCTAGAAGTAGAAGTACCATATGATCCAGCTATCCCGGTCCTTGGAATATATCCTAGAGAAATAAGAGCCGTCACACGAATAGATATATGCACACCCATATTCATTGCAGCACTGTTCACAATAGCAAAAAGATGGAAACAACCTAGGCGCCCATGAGCAGATGAATGGATAAACAAATTATGGTATATCCACACAATGGAATACTGCACAACGATAAAGAACAACGATGAAGCTGTGAAACATAACATGGAGGAAGCTGGAGGTCATTATGCTGAATGAATTCAGTCAGTCACGGAAGGACAAATATTGTATAAGACCACTATTATAAGAACTCAAGAGAAGGTTTAAACACAGAAGAAAACATTCCTTGATGGTTACAAGGGTGGGAGGGAGGGTGAGGGTTATTTACTAACTAGATAGTAGATAAGAATTATCTTAGGTGAAGGGAAGGACAGCAGTCACTACAGGGGAAGTCAGCACAACTGGACTAAACCAAGGCTAAGAAGTTTAATACAATCAAACACTTTGAGGGACAGAGTATAGGGGTAGGAGTCCGGGGACCATGCTTTCAAGGGAGATCTGGGTCAACTGGCATAACAAAGCTTACTAAGAAAATGTTCTGCATCCTACTTTGGTGAGTGGCGTCTGGGATCTTAAGAGCTTGCAAGCGGCCATCTGAGATGCATCGATTGGTCCCAACCACCTGGAGTAAAGGAGAATGAAGAGCACCAAAGACACAAGGAAAGTATTAGCCCAAGAGACAGAAAGGGCCACATAAACCAGAGACTTCATCAGCCTGAGACCAGAAGAACTAGACAGTGCCCTGACAGGAAACACAACAGAGAGTCCCAGATGGAGCAGGAGAAAGGTGGGGTGCAGCACTCAAATTCTAGTAGGAACACCAAACTTAATGGTCTTACTGAGACTGCAGGAACCCCAGAAAGCACAGCCCCTGATTCTCTATCAGCCCAGAACTAATTTCCGAGGCCGACTCTTCAGACAGGGATTGGACTGGACTGTGGGACATAAAGTGATACTCACGTGGAGTGTGCCTCTTAGCTCAAGTAGATACAAGAGACTAAATGGGAAGCTTCTGTCCGGAGGTGAGATGGGAAGGCAGAGAGGGTTAGGAGCTGGTTGAACGGACATGGGGAAATCAGGGGTAGAAAGGAGGAGTGTGTTGTCACAGTATGGGGAGAGCAATTAGAGTCACATAACAATGTATGTATAAATTTTTGTATAGGAAAAAGTAAAAATAGAATACTCAGATTGACAGTAGCATTACATTTCACTTCTAAATAAATTTATCATTGGGGTTGTTGTTGTCTGCCTACAAGTCAATTCCAACTCATACCAACCCTATAGAACAGAGTAGAACTGCTCCATAGGGTTTTCTAGGCTGAAATCTTTGTGGGAGCAGATTGCCAGATCTTTTCTTCCATGGAGCCACTGGTGGGTTCGAACTGCCAACCTTTCAGTTAGCAGCCAAGCGCTTAACCATTACACCACCTGGGCTCCTTATCATTGGGGTATACCTTTAAAAATTGGAAACAATGCTCTAAAATCTTCCTTAAATGGTATAACTTCTTCCTCCTTAAATTTATCTGAAATAGAAATAGTTAACTCCTTTCAGAGAACTGCCGTTGATTCCCATCTACCCAAGCTTCAGTTTTACATTAACTTGGATGCACGTCAAGTTTTAGCTACCTAGTAAGTTTCCACTTGATGGCAAATTTAGCATACACTAACGCTGCTGTCTCCGCATCCACTCTGTAGCTCCTCACAGCACTCCTATCTGCTTTCAGACTTGGTTGTCTGCCTGTTAGGATCCAGAAACGCACTAGCAATGCCCAGTCGAGGTTAGCATTTGCTCCTTTTTTCTTTACATTACTGACAATGTTTATATTTCAACTGATAATGACGTTCCCTATTTAAAAAAAAAAAAAACACCCTGTCTTAGGCTGGGTTCTCTAGAGGAGTATCTTAGTCATCTAGTGCTGCTGTAACAAATACCACAAGTGGATGGTTTTAACAAAGAGAAGTTTATTCTCTCACAGTCCAGTAGGCTACAGGTCCAAATTCAGGGCATCAGCTCCAGAGGAATGCTTTCTCCGTCACCTCTGGAGGAAGGTTGGTGTCATCAATCCTCTCTTGGTCTGGGAGCTTCTCTGCGCAGGATGCAGGTCCTCAGGTCCAAAGGATGCACTCTGCTTCTGGCACTGCTTTCTTGGTGGTATGAGGTTCCCGTGTGTCTCTGCTTGCTTCTCTTTTATATCTCAAAAGAGACGGGGTTAAGACACTGTCTAATCTTGTAGACCTCATCAGTATAACTGCCACTAATCCATTTTATTACATCATAGTGATAAGACTTTACAACACATAAGGAAATCACATCAGATTACAAAATGATACACGATCACACAATACTGGGAATCATGACCCAGTCAAGCTGACAGATATTTTTGGGGGACACAATTCAAACCCTGACAAGTAGCAAAAACAGTGAAGCGTATACGTAAATATGTACATTAAAAAAAAAAAAAAAAAAACCATTGCTGTCAAGTCAATTCTGACTCATAGTGACCCTATAGGACAGAGTAGAACTGCCCTATAGGGTTTCCTAGGCTGTAATCTTTATAGAAGCAAATTGCCACATCTTTCTCCCATGTAGTGGCTGGTGGGTTTCAACTGCTGACCTTTCAGTTAGCAGCCAAGCACTTAACCACTGCGCCACCAGGGCTCCTTATAAATATATAGCTTTATTTCCAGGAAACGGCTCATGCATCTGTGGAGGCTAGTAAGTCCCAAATCCGTGGGTCAGGCAGCAGGCTGGAGGCTTCTCCTGACTTACAAGTGTGTCCGTTGGAGCCAGGAACCCTGCACTGAGAAACTTCTTGACCCAGGAAGACTGATGACAAGGATCTTCCCCCAGAGTCAACAGAGAGAGAAAGCCTTCCCCTGGAGCTAACATGGAAGCCCTGGTGGCATAGTGGTTAAGAGCTATGGCTTCTAACTAAAAAGTTGGCAGTTCAAATCCACCAGGTGCTCCTTGGAAACTCTATGGAGCAGTTCTACCCTGTCCTATAGGGTCACTATGAGTTGGAATTGACTTAACTACAATGGGTTTGGTTTTTTGGTTTTGAAGCTGACACCCTGAATTTGGACTTCTAGCCTCTTAGACTGTGAGAGAATAAATTTCTCTTTTTTAAAGCCATCCACTTGTGGTATTTCTGTTACAGCAGCACTAGATAACTGTCACGGATTGAATTGTGTCCCCCAAAAAATGTGTGTATAAATTTGGCTAGGCCATGATTCCCAGTGTTGTGTGGTTGTCCTCTATTTTGTGATTGCAATTTTATGTGAAAGAGGATTAGGGTGGGATCGTAACACCACCGTTATCCAGGTCACATCCCTGATCCAATGTAAAGGGAATTTCCCTGGGGTGTGGCCTGGACCACATTTTAACTTACAAGAGATAAAAGGGAAGGGAAGCAAGCAGAGAGTTGGCGGACCTCATACCACCAAGAAAGAAGCACCAGGAGCAGAGCCCATCCTTTGGACCCAACGTTCCTGTGCAGAGAAGCGCCTAGTCCAGGGGAAGACTGATGGGAGGAACTTCCTCCAGAGCCAAAAGACAGAGAAAGCCTTCCCCTGGAGCTGACGCCCTGAATTTGGACTCCTAGCCTACTAGACTTGAGAAAATAAATTTCTCTTTGTTAAAGCCATCCACTTGTGGTATTTCTGTTAGAGCAGCACAAGATGACTGAGACAATAACTAAGACAATTCGGTACAGGAAGAGTGGGGTGCTGCTCTAAGATACCTAAAATATGGAAGCAGTTTTGAAACAGTGAATGGATAGAGGCTGGAAGAGTTTTAAAGCACCTGATAGTAAAAGCCTCGACTGCCTTGAAGAGACTGTTGGTGGAATTATGGACATCAAGGACAATTCTGGTGAGGACTCAGAAGGAAGTGTGGAGAGCTGTTACACTGGAGACGACACAGATGGCGAGATGCAGCAGCAGAGAACCAGCAGCACCAGAACCAGGAGACCAGGGTAACACGGTCCTGAAGGCTGACCCATGGGTGAGGGAGCTGAGTGCTTTGGCAGGAGGCTTCCTGGTGGAGTGTGCTGCCTCCAAGCACTTATCGGTGGAGCTAGGCTTGCCAACCCACGGAACAAGAGAGCTGAGTGCCTTCTAGATGAAGTTTACTGGCAGAGCGGGGTGCCTCCAGGCACTTATCGGTGGAGTTAAAGAGCTTTGGAAGACTTGCCTCAGCAGGGCAGACATAGTTGGAGAGGCTTGAGGGGCTGAGAGACCAAGGAACCAGGAAGCAGAAGAGACAAGGAACCCAAGAAGCAGAGCTGCCTCAGTCTCAAAGGGTAGTGCCATGACCTCAACCTCTGGGGTCTCAAAGGGTGGAGTCGCCACTTAGATGGAATAGGATAACGGGGCCACCTAAAGCCCAGGGAATGGAGTCGTCTTCCCATTGGGCCTGGAAGGCAGAGATGAAGCCCAGGGCTAAGGAGCCTCCATAATCAGGACAGTGTGGCCAACACTCAGAGCCTGAAGGGCAGGGCCATTGCCTAAATGGTCTCAGAGAACAGAGGATTATTTTCAAGCCTTGAGGGCTACTGTAATGTGCTCTGCTGACTTGTTTGGTGTCTATCATCCCTTCTTTCTCTCCAATTTCTCCCATCTGTAATGAAAATGTCTAGCTTGTGCCTGTTGCACCATTGTACTTTGGAAGCAGGTAACTTGTATTCTAGATTTCACAGATGAAGAGGAATTTTTGGATTTTGGACTTGGAGTTAAGACTTGCTATGATATGATGGGGTGAATGGGGCAAGGACATGAATTTTGGGGGGCCAAAAGGTGGAATGTTATGAATTGTGTTCCCCAAAAATGTAATGTCAACTTGGATAGGCCATGATTCCCAGTATTGTTTACTTTGTCATCTGATGTGATTTTCCTACGTTGTAAACCCTGCTTCTGCAGGATTAGAGGCAGCTTTGCTAACGAGGAAGGGACTCAATCTACAAGATTAGGTTGCGTCTTAAGTCAATCTCTTCTGAGATATAAGAGAGAAGTGAGCAGAGAGACAGGGGGACCTCATACCACCAAGATACAAGAGCCAGGAGAATAGCCTGTCCTTTGGATCCAGGGTCCCTGCGCTAAGCTCCTAGAGTAGGGGAAGACTGATGATGCGGACCTTCTTCTGGAGCCAACAGAGAAAGCCTTCTTCTGAAGCTGGCACCCTGAATTCTGACTTCTAGTCTCCTAGACCGTGAGAGAATAAATTTGTTAAAGCCATCCACTTGTGGTATTTGTTATAGCACACGGGCTAACAAACTTGAAATCTGCAGGTCAGGCGGCAAGCTGGAGGCTTCTCCTGACTCACATGGTTGCAGGGGCTGGTAAACCCACAATCTGCATGTCAGGCAGCCAGCTGCTGGCTCACATCCCAAGAACCAGAGGTCAGAGGATGACAAGACAAATGTGTGATCAAGAGAGTGCAAATTTTGCCAGAACATCCACATATATTGGATGCAGGCCACAACCCCAAGGAAACTCCCCTTCAACTGCCTAAATGGTCTCAGAGAACAGAGGATTATTTTTAAGCCTTGAGAGCTACTGTAATGTGTTCTGCTGACTTACTTGGTGCCTGCTATCCCTTCTTTCTCTCCAATTTCTCCCATTTGTAATACAAATGTCTAGCTTGTGCCTGTTGCACCATTGTACTTTGGAAGCAGGCTGCTCATATCAGATCACAAAATGGGGGATGGTTACACGACGTCTGCTAAACCACTGAGAACCATGGGCCTAGCCAAGTTGACACATAACGTTAACCATCACATACCCCCACAGCCTGAACAGGAAAAAACCATCATTTACTGAGATCACCCACTACAAGTCAGACACTGTGCTTTAAATAAACCTCCAGTGTGTACTCTTGCCACAGTGACCGCAAAGGCAGGGAAAATTTCATATAACCAAAACATAAGAGTTAATAACAATATGCCTTTATTCTTTAACTTAAAAACAAGTTTTAATTTGTCCTGCAAAAGCTAATTAAAACTGGCAACTGCTTTTCTCAGCTATTTCTCTAGTGTCCACGACAGAGGAAGAATTCACCTGTTGATGTAAAAAAACACACACACCGGCACAAAGGGGAGGGGGGAATGTGAGCTTTACTTCAAACAATATCCCACTGTTACGTGATTGTTACAAAACTTCCAAGCTGGTGTTCTTCCACATGCTCTCTTCTGACGGACGCAATAGCTGATAGTTTCATATTTACAAGTTCACAACAATGAATGTTCTTATTTTATTGATAGATTCTCCGCGGTTCCTGTAGCACCACACCACCTTCTGTCATAGCACTTTGTAGTCGTTTGATCTGGTTTTGAAGATCAGAAAGAAGGAAACGGTTAGCACCACAAGTAAGGCTGAAAATAAACAGCTTACTTCCTGAGAGAGAGGTAAACACAAAACTGATTTGCTCCTTGCTAACTTCCCAGCCTACACTGGTTTTTCAGAAAGTGATGTTAATGATAACATAGCTAAGAAAAAAGGGGATGCAGACATATTAAAAATCAGTAGCGTTTTAAAGTATGATATGGAAAACATGTTAATCTATGAATAGGAAAGTACAATGGCTGACAGTGTGGGCTGTATCATCAATTACCCTGAGTTTGAAATCCAACACTCACTGACTCTGGGCAAGTCAACCTGAGCCTCAGTTTGCCTATGTGTAAAATGGGAATAATAGTCCCTACCTGGTGGTACAATGATTAAGCGCTTGCCTACTAACCAAAAGGTTGGCAGTCTGAACCCACCAGCGGCTCCCAGGAGAAAAGGCAATCAGCTTGCGTAAAGATTATAGCCTAGGAAACCCTACAGGGCAGTTCTACTCTTTCCTACAGGGTCGGTATGAGTTGTAATTGACTCAACAGCACACAACCACCACCACCACCACCACCACCATATGGGCTGCTGTGAAGCCAAATGGGGTAACATATGTCAGAGTACTCACCTCAGGGTCTGACAGATGAAAATGACTTGTTAATTGGAAGCTATCATTATTAAGTATCTAATGTTGTTGAGAATTAACACAATACTTTTTAGATAAGTATATGAAGACAAACATACCGAGTCTGAGGCTGCCTCCCAAGGGGTGGGTTGGTAGACCATGAAGTTGATCCCTGCCTGTAAGCATCGCTCTGCCAGTACTCGTCCTATACTCTCACAAGCCACCACGTTTGTGGTCCTATAAAGGTGCTTTTTAATAGCCCACTCACAAGTGGATGCCGAAACCACGATCTGGCCATTTAGATGCTCAACAAATGCTTCTATATGATGCTGAGTCCTTATAACTCGTAACCTAAGCAAAGTGAAAAGAGAATAAAATCAAATTCTAAACTTAAATTATTTCAAGAATGCAATGTCTAGGAGATTTACTTCAACATACTTAACCTGGATTTTATTTAGGAAAGGTGTTTTTCTCTGTCTTTATGAGAATAACCCAACAATAATAAACCAAACATTTCTACTTAACCTAAAGTACCAAGGAGAAACTTGGTATTTCTGAAGAGCTGAGTTTTACTTATTTACATAGCATCTACTTCAAATTGGATTTGAAGAGGCAGAGTTAAGTTGCTGACCCTACACTGGGTAAGCATAGATTTATTTTCTGCTTTTATATTCCAGCTCACACCAAAGTAAATGTGAGATAGATTGAAGATTTAAATGTAAGAATTTAAATCATAAAAACATGAGAAGCAAGCATGGGAGAATTTTTTTATAATCTCAAAGTAAGCAAGCCTATTTAAATATGACATCAAACCAAAAGCCATTAAAGAAAAGATTGACAACTTTGATTATGTAACTATGAAAATATTCTGCACGGTAAAATAATACCAAATGATAAAATGAAGTTAAAAGGCAAGCAACAAAACAGAAAAAAATTTAAACTCATATATTCTTTAAAGGGCTAATTGCCATAATATGTAAAAAGCCTCTTACAATCAATAACAAAATGACCAATGTTTAATCGAACAATAGGCAAAGGATTTGAACAGACAGTTCACAGAAAAGGGAAATGTTAATGACTTTTAAACCCATAAAAATGTCCAATCTCATTCATAAAAGCCAAGGACAAGGCAATTCATTGCAACACTATAATCATAAAAGATCATCAACAGGGAACCAATTAAATAAAATATCTGTACAATGGAATTTTATCCAGCTACTGAAAAGGATGAGACACTGGCTTTATAATAACGATGACAATAACTAACATTTACTAAGCACTGACTATATGCCAGGCACTGTCCTAACGGTTTATAGGTATAACCCATATCTCAAAATAATCTCATTAATATCTTCTTTTTTTTTTTTTAAGATGCAGCAACAGGCATAGAAAGGTTAAGTAATGTGCACAAGATTAAAACTACTAAGTAACAGAGCCATGATTTCAGTCCAGGGATCTGACTCTAGAACCAATGCTCCCAACCACCATGAAGAACTCCACGATAAAGTTTTAAGTAAGAGTGAAAAAAAATAAAGAAAGGTGCAGAACAGTGTATATGGTATACTAAGATTTATATTTTAAAAACCACCAATACATGCTAATAGACTATCTCTGAAAAGACACACAAGAAACAATTGGGTTTTATACCATGTGTATACATATCATTCTGCTGCAAAAGATCTCTTTAAAGTGCTGAAAAGCAAAGATGTCACTTTGAGGACTAAGGTGTGTCTGACCCAAGCCATGGTATTTTCAATCACCTCATATGCATATGAAAAGTTGGACAACGAATAAGGAAGACCGAAGAAGAACCGATGCCTTTGAATTATGGTGTTGACGAAGAATATTGAATATACCTGGACTGCCAGAAAAATGAACAAATCTGTCTTGGAAGAAGTACAGCCAGAGTGCTTCTTGGAAGCGAGGATGGCAAGACTTCATCTCACATACTTCAGGCATGTTATCAGGAGGGACCAGTCCCTGGAGTAAGGACATCATGCTTGGTAAAGTGGAGGGTCAGCAAAAAAGAGGAAGGCCCTCAATGAGATGGATTGACATAGTGGCTGCAACAATGGGCTCAAGCATAATGAGGGTACAGGGCCAGGCAGCATTTCGTTCTATTGTTGTACCCAACTCGACAGCACCTAACAGTAACATATGTATCACACATTAAAAAAATAAGCTCAAAGAAAACACTCAAATTAGAAGATTCTTACTAGGATTCTCAGTATGAAATAGAAAAAGCACTAGATTTGAAAATGGGAGTTCCAGTCCAGGGTTTCCCATCACCCTGTCTGTCAGTCTGTCATATTGTGATGGCTATGATGCTGGAAGCTATGCCACCGATACTTCAAACACCAGCAGGGGCACCTATGGTTGACAGGTTTCAGCAGAGCTTTCCAACAAGACAGGCTAGGAGGAAAGGCCTGGTGTCCACTGAAAATCAGCCAATGAAAACTATGGATCACAACAGAACACTGTTCAATCCAACAATCATGAAAACGGTGCAGGACCAGCGACGTTTGATTCTGTCGTGCACAGGGTTGCCATGAATCGGAGCTGACTCCACAGCAACTAACAACAAACAACAACAGTTCAGGCTTTGCTGGTGGTCCTGGCAAAAACACAGTCTCTGAAACCAGGCGTCAGCAAACTTCTCCATAAAGGGCCAGACAGTCAATCTCTTAGGCTTTGCAGGCCACACAACCGTTTTCTGTTGTTACTCAACTCAGCCACAATAGCGCTAGCAGCCATAGGCAATACGTAAACAAACAAGCATGGCTATCTTCCAATAAAACTTTCTTTGTAGACACTTAAATTTGAATTTCATATAATTTTCACATGTCCCAAAAAAATTATTTTGATTTTTTCCCACCTTTAAAATAAACGTACAAACGATTTTTAGCTCAACAGCCATACAGAAACAGGCAGCAGGCCAGCTTTGGCCCGTGGACCATAGTTTGTTTTAAAGCGGTAGGACTCATTCCCTCTAAATCACTTCTTACTATAAAAACCAAAACCATACCTGCTGCCGTCCAGTCAATTCCGACTCACAGCAATCCTATAGGATAGAGCATAACTGCCCCCATAGGGTTTCCAAGGAGCGGCTGATGGATTCGAACTGCCAACCTTTTGGTTAGCTGTCTGCGCTCTATAATATTGCAAAATTCTATACTGATAATACTGTGATAGGGCACATGGGGGAAAAAATGGGAAAATAGGTCTCTAGTTATTTAAATAATCCAAATATTAACTGAAAGTAACAGGTTGGGTGTTTTAAAAGACTTTGACTTAAGAACCAGATCATTTCCAGTCTGAACTGCCTACTCCCTTCAACTCCTGTCAGTATAAGAAAAATGTGTTGTAACAGTTGTAACACTTTATTATCCCTACTCTATCTTCCACTGTTAAACTGTAAGACAGGGATGACATCTCCTTTATCTTTGCACCCCCTGCATCTAGCATAATGTCTAACTGGTGACATAGGCCCAATGTTTGTTGAATGAATAAATACATCACACGGCTACAATCTGTAATTTGTTCTTATAACTTTTAAATAGTCCTCAAGAAACATTGTGTTTAACGAATACTTACCAAGCAGATGAGAACCAGATAAATACCTACATGTGGCAGCTTAGTAGTAATAATTTAGTGCCCTGGCTATGAGGTCAGACAGAATAAGTTTGAATCTTAGTGCTGGAACTTGCTAACCATGTCATTTTGAGGCAGTTAGTTAGCCTCCCTAAGCTTCAACTCCCCTGTCCCTATAAAATGGGAAAAGTAATTGTACTACCTGATAAAGTAGTTTTAAGGATTAAATGAGAAAGTGCACATAAACTAATTAGCATAGCTGCTGGCAGTTAGAAAATGTTCAATAAAAAACCATCTTTATAACAAAACATCTCATGCCTGAAATAAGACTCCTAACTGGTCTTCCCGCTTCTATTCTTGTCCCCTTAAAAACATTTTCTACCCAAATCAGCCAGAATGATCTTTAAAAACCTTATCAATTCAGGCTCAAACCTTAAAATCTTTCATAGCTTCCCATCTGTGATGGATTGAATTGTGTCCCCAAAATATATGTGCTGTAACTCCTAACCTCTATGCCTGTGATTAGAATCCCATTTGAGAATGAGCTGTCTTTGTCATGTTCATAAGGCAAGATTAGTGTAGGATGTATCTTGAGTCAATCTCTTCTGAGATATAAAGAGATTAAACAAGCAGACAGAGATAGGGGAAATACTGATGCCAAGCCACATGGAGATCTCCAAGGAACCAGGGAACAGAAGCTGAAGAGACAAGGACCTTCCCCCAGAGACAACACAGAAAGCCTTCCCCTAGGGTCGGCACCCTGAATTCAGACTTCTAGCTTCCTAAACTGTGAAAAAGTAAATTTGTTTGTTAAAGCCACCCATTTGTAGTATTTGTTATAGCAGCACTAGACAACTAAGATACCATTGTACTGAAAATACAGTTTAAACAGCTTACCTTGATCTACAAAGACAACGATCTGTCCTCTACCTACACTACTATTCTCACCACACCACTCACCCCTTTGCCCACTGAGCTCCAGACACACAGGCCTTTCTGTTGCAACTCCCCAAGCTCACTTCCACCGTAGCTGTTTCCTCTGCTAGGAATGCTCCTCCTGGCCATTCACACAGATGGTCTGGTTTCCTATCTTTCAGATTTCAGTTTTTTTTTAAGTGTCACCTCCTCAGGCAAGTCTTAATAGGCACCCAGTCTCCCACGGTGACATTCACTTTACACTTTCTCCATGACGCACATTTATTGTTTGTTTTGCCCCACGCCAACTTTCTGAGAGTCCAGGGCTGCATTACCCAATAAGCAAGGTAAACACAGGCTTACTTCTTCCTATTTACTAATTTACTAATCTGTAATGACCAATTTTACATGGGTTTCACGGCGAAACCCATGTGAAATTGATCGCTACAGATCAGTAAACACGCCAAGTAAGCACGGTTTGCTTACCTTGCCCATTGCATAATCCGCCCCAGGGAGAGTCCCAGGCAGTACCAGCAAATAGTAAGGGCTGGATAAACGTTTGCTGAGTGAACGGATAAAAACAATTTGTAGACTACCGCGCACGTGTAGACTTAATTACCTGTGCCAGAACTCACGAGAGGGCCACACTGTCCCCCAACCTCGTTCTTTCCTGGCTACAGCCAAGAGCTCCAGATTCCGGGGGTTGCGGTTGGTGAACTCGGAGGCAACAGCTTCATTAGCCACTTCAGGCTTCACTGCTGATTTGGAACTGGTTGACAGGGCTGCAAACCCAAACTCTAAAACATGGAAACAACCATACTTGTCTAAAAAACGACTAATATGAACAAATCAGGAATATGATCTGACTTCTATCCCCATCTGCTCCCCCAGTCTTCCTGCCCTGTAAGGAAGACGAAATATATGTTTGATCAAAGGGTCCTTAGTTTTTTACTATCGTCACCACAGTGCTATCAACTTAATTACTTTTCGATGGTGGATGCAGAGTAAAAAATGCGACTTGCACGTTCACATTTACTGTGAAGGCTCTGGGGAGTCACCTGAGAAAAATGGGGCAAAACCAGTTACCGGGGTTTCTGCAAACCGACAACGCCCAGAACCGTGACCGAAGCGCCATCGCTGAGGGGACCTCAGGAAAAGCCTCAGAATAGCCTCGCCTCTTGCTTCTCGCGGGCGTCTCAGCGGTCTGCAGCCGCAGCCATAATCCCTCAGGGAGAAGCTGAGACCGGTGGAGGTCACCAATTCTGAACGCATGCCCCGGAACTAACAAGGTCCTGCGGCTGAGTGGCCAAGCGGGCCATCTGTCATGTCCGTTTCTCCAATCACCGATTACGTTTAGACGCACGGAGGTCTGGAGCGGACCAACCATCTCGCAGGAACGCATTGAGGGTGGGGCGTCATGCGAGGGAAAGGCCTTTATAGTTATTTCATCTCCGTCCGCGGCTTGAGATGCTAGCTGCGCTAGAAGGCAAGAAGCTTACTGCTACGCGGTACCCCTAACTTCACGTTCCCGTGTTTGTACTCTAGTCGCAAAGGTTAGGCCAACTATTATCGGATCCGCACATATCCCAGCCAGGTACTGGGAGGAAATGAGGCAAGGCAAGATGCATAGTTCTCAGTTTGAAAATGGGTGGTTGTCTTCCTCGAACTACAGCTTCTTCCGTAGTGCCCACGCTAAAGCCTTGTGGGGCTCCTGCCCCGTTTCACCGAAGTCCAGACCCCAAGCCCATATTCATGAGCTCCGAAACAAAGCCTGGCCGACCTGCCCGAACCTCCCCGAGCGGTATTAACAGGGAAGGAGAACAAGAAATGGACCGTGAAGCTTAAGACGCTAAGATGTGCTTTAGAGTAAAGGCTCCCCCGCCCCCTCCCGCCACACCCCCAGCTTCAAACCCCGCCCTGCCGACCACCTTTTCTAGAAGTCACTAGAATGTCCCAACTCGCATGCGCAACCCTGCTGAGCGTGAACGCTCACCAGAGCACCTTCTTCCTCCGAAGGCCCAGAATCCTGACTTCCGCTCTCCGACCTTCGCGCCCTTCTCATCCGCACTCTAATTGGACAAAACTGCTGACGCGCCACTGCGCCCGCCCCCTCGCTGTACCTCACTTCCGGCGCGTTCACCCTTCTCTTTCTCCGCCCCCTTCTTTCTTTCCCGCCCTGCCCCGCGCCCGGGCTGGGGGAGCGGGGGAGCGAGGCGGGCGGTGTTACCCAGCAGCCTCCGCGGGGTGTTTCGGGCAGGTCCACGCTGGTGTCGCTGTCTCCGCAGCCCGATTAAGGGACGAGACACTGGTCTCCTGGGGTGTGAGTGGAACTTGTATCCTGCTGCGAAGATGGAGGGGCCTTTGTCCGTGTTCGGGGATCGCAGCACCGGGGAGGCGATCCGCTCCCAGAACGGTAAGGGCGGCAAGGGCCTGTCGGGCGGAGTCCCGGCCCCGGGCTCGCCGCTGCGTTGCTCATATCTCTCCGCCTCCCCCCCCCAAAAAAAAGATTCCCTCGGACCACTTTGGCCGGATCCCCGCTGGCCGTTGTCGTCGCTTCTGGGCGGGCGTCAGGGCCCTCTCCCCGAAAGGGGAGCATCCTGGAGAGAGAAGCACGTTGTGAGAACTGCGCCGGATGGGCGGGGAGGCCGGGGCCGGGAAAGCGAGCCCTGTGCACGGCAACGTGCCGGCCCTGGTCGCAGCCGCTTTGTTCCCATGCCAACCAGAAGAAGCGTCTTCCTCAACCCTTGGGCTCTGCTTTACAGATGAGCAAATGGCCACAAGGTTTAGGTGGCTCTCCCGTTGTAGCGAACCGGTTCTCCACGGCGGCGGATGCAAGTCCCCGATGTCCAGATCCAGTTCTTATGTCGTCTGTCCCTGACAGCTTCCCGTAATAAAACTAGCTGGCGATTAAATGTTAGTGTTCTTTGTTGCAAAATAATTAGGAAAGGTGATTCTTAATTGACTAGTTAACATTGATACACGTTGCTGTTGTTGTTTAGCCTTTTTTGAAAATATAGGTTGCTAATTTTGGGGGCGAATTTGAAGTAAAGTCAGCGTTTTTTCATTCTATCACTGCTTTTTTCAGTTCCTGGTAAAGAGACTACTAATGTAGTTTTTTTTCCCCTAAAACCTGTCAGAATCTGAAGGAAAAGCTGATTTATAGTTATCCAGTATGAAGTGGCAGAACATAAAACCGCTAGTAGATTGCTTTTTTAATTCTGTAAGGGAGCAAAGGGGTTATTTAAAAGACTGCATCCACTTTGGAAGAGTATATTCGAAGTGAGTTCTCCAAGATTTCCCTCATCAGGTTTTTAGTAGATAATTCTTTTAAAAATAATTGGGGAAGATTTGTGAATTTGGGGAACTTAAAGGTTATTGGATGTCATTTGGTCGTTTCGTTTCCTTGGGCTGAAATGATTGCCCTTTGAAGGGTAGGTTTTTCTCATTGCATTTCTTTTTCCATTGATTGTCTACAGTGATGGCTGCAGCTTCTATTGCCAATATTGTAAAAAGTTCTCTTGGTCCAGTTGGCTTGGATAAAATGTTGGTGGATGATATTGGTGTAAGTACACCTAACTGTTGTGTTCATGTTACTATAAAGAGGAGGGGTAGTTCTTAATCTTTTGCTGTGTAAATTCTATGTTTTTGTCAGAATCGTGGTACTTGAAGATGTTAAAATGTGTCATAATGGGCTGTGTTAATTTAGGGGATATCCTGTTTCTGTAGGTGATTTGTGTTGTCTTTGTTGTTTCCCCGTTATTTTCTCAGGATGTAACCATTACTAACGATGGTGCAACCATTCTGAAGTTATTGGAGGTAGAACATCCTGCAGCTAAGGTTCTTTGTGAACTGGCTGATCTTCAAGACAAAGAAGTTGGAGATGGAACTACTTCAGTGGTAGGTACTCATCTGGTAGGGTGGCACAGCCTCCTCATTTTAAATGTTGGTTTTTGCAAGTTTTGACAATACTCATACATCACACAAGAGTTTTATCTGCCCCCCCATCTTTCTCCTGTATCTTTTTTTTTTTTTCCCCATTTGACTACCACTTAAGATCTTAAATAATAGATTTTAGTGGTTATGCTTGTGGGATAGATTAAAATTGCCATGGTCTGAAGAGGGAGGGTTTTTTGTGTCCTCCTCCCATATGAAATGGTTGTACAGAAGATTAATGCTAATGACACTTACAAACTTTCCCTTTATGATTATCTAGAGGAAAAAGTGTTAACTAGTTTTTTTTTTTTAAGCTTGTATTTTAGAGGTTGACAGGCAGTTTTAGGAGTTCAGGATGGAAATGTGAGAAATTAATTCACCACAGTATGACAGTGTGATAGAATCAGTAGACGTGGTTAATAAGGTGACGTAAACTCAAAAATCATCCAGGACACCGGTGTAGTAGAAACACTTGTTTGGTGGGGAAGATGTTAATTGCAGCCAAATAGGCAGTAGTTAGTTTAGTGAGGGAGTTTGTATTTATGGATTAACCTTTCAGCCATGAAAGAATAGAATTTCCTGAAACAGTGAAAACAGCCTTTTATCTGAGTAATTTATGATGATGTCTTTAACAAATAATATAGTTTCCGATAATTAAGCTTGAAGGATTTTTTAAAGTTTCTGTTACTTATTTCTTAATGTTTCTTAACCAGTTGCCATTGAATCAGTTCCTACTCACGGTGACCCTGTGTGTATCAGAGGAGAAGTGTGCTCCATAGGGTTTGCAATGGCTAATTTTTTTCAGAAGTAGATTTCCCTTCTGAGGTACCTCTGAGTGTACTTGAACCACCAGCCTTTCAATTAGTAGTTGAGTGAGTTAACTGTTTGCACCACCCAAGGACTCCTAGTGTTCCTTAGAAGAATTGTTTTTAAAGTAAACCAAATCATAACCTAAAATTGTACAGATCATTTGAGTAGTCGAGACTCTTCATTTACCATCTGTTGAGCATTAATCTCGAGAGGTTCTGGGTGTGTAGTCTTCTGTTGTATTGCCGTTAGCTGGAACATTATTCTGGCTCTTAATTGGTTCTTGCCGTTTGCATACAAAACACTGTAGACTGTTTTCTAATAACCAGCTTGTTTTACCCCCATCATTCTGGTTAATATCTGATTGTTCTAGTGTTGTTTTTACATGAATGCGTTGCAGATACTGAACATCAGACTTAGGAGCAATGAATGTTTTCTCAACAGGTTATTATTGCAGCAGAACTTCTAAAAAATGCAGATGAACTAGTCAAACAGAAAATCCATCCCACATCAGTCATTAGTGGCTATCGGCTTGCTTGCAAGTAAGATGGTTTGAATTTACAGAGCGATGTTACTTGATGTAATACTTATAAGTATGTTGTGTTCTCAGTGTTTTGATTAGTGATCATTTTAATCTGTAAAATGTTGTGCTTTAGTGTTTAAATAGTAATATGTGAAGTAAGAAGTAGGACCAGTATCTTTTTTTCCCATTTGACTACCACTTGAGATCTTAATAATAGATTTTAGTGGTTATGCTTGTGGGATAGATTAAAATTGCCATGATCTGAAGAGGGAGGGTTTTTTTTTTGTGTCCTCCTTCTATATGAAATGGCTGTACAGAAAATCAATGCTAATGACATGCTGACACTATGTGTTAAACTTTATACTGAAAAAGCTTGTGTGGTGAACTTACAAGTTTTCTCCCCCGTACGTTAAACAGGGAAGCAGTGCGTTACATCAGTGAAAACCTAATTATTAACACAGATGAACTTGGAAGAGATTGTCTGATTAATGCTGCTAAGACGTCTATGTCTTCCAAAATCATTGGAATGTATCCTTGTGGTGGTATAATAAAGTTCAGGCATTTTTTTTTTTTTAAGTCAGATCTTATGTTATTTTTTGTATTTATTAGTCCGTATCATATTGATACTGCATTACAGACAGATGATCCTATATTAAAGTTGCCTGTTGCCTTGTCTGCTTTTCGAGAGTGGGAGGAAAGGTAACATAAAGTGTGCATAAAAATGGTATAAAATGGAGATACTGACAAATAACGCTAGTATTTTTATGACATGAATAATGCTTGTTTTTTTGATGAATGAAATTGCTAAAGGAAAACAAGTCACTTTGAATTATGCTGTATTTTCATGTGTAATAAATTATTTGTCCATTCCAAGTCTGTTATTATCATCTTTAACTGTTGGCTTAGAAACTGTGATTTCTTCGCTAATATGGTGGTGGATGCTGTACTCGCAATTAAATACACAGACGGAAAAGGCCAACCTCGCTATCCAGTCAATTCTGTTAATATCCTGAAAGCTCACGGAAGAAGTCAGACGGAGAGTCTGTTGATCAACGGCTACGCACTCAACTGTGTGGTGGGATCACAGGGTAAGGATCTGAGATTGGGGCATGCAACGAGAGGGCGACAGGTTAAAACGAGCTTTTTGTGGGCCGCATACTATACTTTTCAGATGAACTGTCCAAGATGCACACTAACTGCTCTTTTAAATGGAGCCCAGGGAAGGAAAAAACAGTTCATCACATTAGTCTCTTGTAATTTAAATACATAAAACTCAGCACGAGTGTAAATTAAGAGAAATCACATGCGTTTGACAGAGTTTTTTTTTTAAGGTTAAATATAATGAATTACAATCTCAGTCTTTGTGCTTTCATTATGCTTTTAAGGGTGTTATGTATAAAACGCAGTATTGTTATAGTTACTGTAAAGGAACCTAATGTTGTGTTCAATTATAGGCATGCCCAAGAGAATAGTTAATGCAAAAATTGCTTGCCTTGACTTCAGCCTGCAGAAAACAAAAATGAAGCTTGGTGTACAGGTGGTTATTACAGACCCTGAAAAACTGGACCAAATTAGACAGAGGTATGTACAGCGCTCTTTTGTGGCCTTGAAAGGATTATTTATAATCACACTTGGGTTTGAACAGGATTATCACGACAGGGAACTGAAATGAATGAGTGCTTCATTTCAGAGGATGGAGCAGATGATCAGAACTATTTACTAGGAAGTGGAAGGTGTTGTTTATACCGCTGGATTTTTAAGCATGTCTTGGGGGACTTTAAAAATCAGCATTTTTAACTTTAGTCAAACCATTTTACCTAAACTTACAGAAAAATTAGAAAGGGTGGTGGCGATGTTTTAAGATATTTGGTGGTTATGACTTGAAAATATGAACATTGACGTTTTTGTGAAGTTTGGAGTTTATGAATCTGTGATAGTAAAGGCCAGGAACCTATTTCTTAGCATAGTTCTCAAAACCAAGGAACTCAAATTGGGGTAGGGGAGAGCCAAGTGTATTTTAATTTCTTGAAGTTTTTGTTAGTTAGACTGATTTAAGTTCTGGTCATAGATGGTAATGGACAGTTACTATAATTTAATCAACAATTATTTTGTGAAAAATACTCAATGGGAGGTGTAGTTGTATTATACAAAAACACAAAAAATCAATTGAGTTAATACTCAAATATTTTTTCTTTATAGAGAATCCGATATCACCAAGGAAAGAATTCAGAAGATTCTAGCAACTGGGGCCAATGTCATTCTAACCACAGGTGGCATTGATGATATGTGCCTGAAGTATTTTGTGGAGGCTGGTGCAATGGCAGTTAGAAGAGTTTTAAAACGGGACCTGAAACGCATTGCTAAAGCTTCTGGAGGTATGTCTTTTGCCAGCTCTCACATACAATCCTTCATGCTGATATACACGACCATGTAAAAGCTTTTCACATTGGAATATTGACATTAAGCCATTCCAAAAACAAAGTTTTCATTCCCTTAATGCTGTGTGTTACATATTAAACCATTTTTTGTGTAGCGGAAAAGTTCTTTAACATTCACTTCAAAAATGAGAATTCCATCTTAAGGTAAAAGGACAGTTGCTCACTTGGAAACCTTAAACTTCTATTTTATATGTCACTTTTATCATAAATAGTTTCTGAATTGAAGACAGGATGTTAATGTCTTCAGGAGGAAAGTGTATGAAGGAATGGTGTTTATGGGTCTTTGTTAATTCTCTTAATAGCAACTATTCTGTCAACCCTGGCCAATCTGGAAGGTGAAGAAACTTTCGAAGCTGGAATGTTGGGACAAGCTGAAGAGGTGGTACAGGAGAGAATCTGTGATGATGAACTGATTTTAATCAAAAAGTAAGAGCCACTTTCTAAATCACAAAGCTATATAGGTTTTCTCGCTGTTAAGAGTAATATTAGGTCATCTTCCCATTTATTTGCTGCTGTTGTCTCTCAGTGATATGAGCAGTTATACGCATGGGATAAAACATACCGGACCTTTGTAAATGGAGATGAAGTCATCATTTTATCTCTTCTGCATGGTCTAGACATCGTATGTCTAACTGTCCAGGATTTTAAAAAGGATGTTTGCAGTGAATTACCGTGTAGACTTACATAAAGATACTAATTTTAGAATTTTTCTTTGTTTTTAATAGCACTAAGGCTCGTACATCTGCATCTGTTATCTTACGTGGGGCAAATGATTTCATGTGCGACGAGATGGAGCGCTCCTTACATGATGCTCTTTGTGTAGTGAGGAGAGTTTTGGAGTCAAAATCTGTGGTTCCAGGTGGAGGTGCTGTAGAAGCAGCCCTTTCCATATACCTCGAAAACTACGCGACTAGCATGGTAAGAACAGTCTTACTTTCAAGGTGGGCGTGGGAGAGAACCTGGCATTTTATTAAGTCTTGTCTGAGCTGCTGCTGTGGGTTATCGTTTTTCTCCTTTTGTGAACACAGTAATTGTCTTTTTTCTTAGGGGTCTCGGGAACAGCTTGCTATTGCAGAGTTTGCAAGATCTCTTCTTGTTATTCCTAACACGCTCGCAGTTAATGCTGCCCAGGACTCCACAGATTTGGTTGCGAAGTTAAGAGCTTTTCACAACGAGGCTCAAGTTAACCCAGAACGTAAAAATCTAAAGTGGTAAGCATACAACTTCCCAGTGATTTTTGTCGTCAACTATATATTGTATACGGTGGTTTGGTGGTGTTTTAAATTCATGGTATATTATAGTTTTAGCCTTTCTAGACCTTTGGAAAGTAACAGACTAGTCAAATATTTAACATAAGAAAACCTGCTTTTGTTGTTTAGTCATTCATAACTAATTTAAAGGATGCTGATGAGCGGTTATTAGCATGGGTGTGTGTCAGCTCGGTTCCTGACCTCTGCCGGCTTCTCAGAGGAGCCCTGGTGGTGCGAATGCTTGAAGACCAGGCACTTTTCTGCTCTGTCACTTGGCCCACTGGAAATGATGTTTGCAGACAGAGTTCCTTATCTTTACGACCATCTAGACTTTCCTGTCATCAGTGCTGCTTTTTGTGTCAACTACTTTAGTCCTAAAGAGACCTAGCCACAAAGTCAAGGTGACCATTTGCATGGAATAGCTAGAATTATGGGCTGTTGGTCTTGTATTAGCTTTTAAGAGACAGAGGATGGGGTATGTTCTACAGGAGGACATCTGATGGTTTGTTTTTTCACTGCAGGATTGGTCTGGATTTGGTCAATGGCAAACCTCGCGATAACAAGCAAGCAGGGGTGTTTGAACCAACCATAGTTAAAGTGAAGAGTTTGAAATTTGCAACAGAAGCTGCAATAACCATTCTTCGGATTGATGATCTTATTAAATTACACCCAGAAAGTAAAGATGATAAACACGGAGGTTATGAAGATGCTGTTCACTCAGGAGCTCTTGACGACTGATGGGCTTGCTTTTATTTATTATAACAATGTTAGAAGCAGTTGTCTTGTTCTGACTATTACACATTAAAGTACAACAACTTATCAAGCCTTGAGTTCTTGTGAAGGTGCTTTCCATTCTCAGTTTGGTCCTGTTTTCACATATAACTCAGTAGCATACAAAGTTTAAAAAAATGAGGCTTTTTTTAAAGGAAATGAGGCTCAAATTTAGTTTAGGCATAACTGTTAGAAGAATTTCATCCTCTCTGAACACACATAGCTATTCCCATCCCACCCCCGATGCACAGGGCAGCAACACCACGACGTCCACCAGTTCTCTCCATGGTGTGTAACAGGGTCACAAGAATCCGACAGCCAGATGCTCCCAGGGGGTGACCCAAGGCTATGGCCCCTCCTTGAATGTTGACCTGTGGGGGGAATGATTTAGATAGTTCTGTGGATTTAGGGTTAAAATCCTAAAAATTTTTTCCTCCTTTCAAATGCAGTTTTCATTTTAAACTACTTAGGAACTCACACCTTTGGCATCCATTGCTGACTGCCTTCCCTTGTTCCTTAGTTTAAAAATGAATGTAGGAACTGAAGTAATGCAGTTGAGGCTTTTTGCCTTGGGAAATGACAATAGGTGACACCCTGCACACACACACCCCCCACAAAAAAATCACTATCTTCACCCCTAACTGTAGAGCTATTACCTGGGAAACAGCTAATTTCATAAACATGAATATGTGAAATTATTTACAGTCTGAAATCTGAGCTGCTAGAACAAGGTACTCATACTTACCTTCTCCAGGTTTAATCCCAGTTCTCTAACTATTGCAACAGAGAGGGCTGCATAGGCTTCGTTAATTTCAAATACATCAACATCCTCCAGTGACCAACCTGCTTTTGCAACCTAAAGGAGAGATTAATGGAGTAGAGGTCGAAGAAGAGTCACTGGAAGTAAACAAGTGGAGCATATTGCACGATTCTGAAGAATATAAAAACTGCTTCATTGAGTTCTTACGTTAGTCAAAGGATACCTCACCCATTTTGCCTTGGTGACGTCAATTTTGAAAGGTTACAGCTGCTATCTAAAACAGCCCTTAGAAATTCTAAAGGGTGTTAAGTTTTGCACCAATAGCTTCTGTTAACGTGTAGGTAAGGTGATACAGAGTCGGTCTAGAATGCATATAATCCAGACGTTCCCGGCTGTCTCCTTATGGTAGAGAAAGCAGACTAGATATAAATGATCAAGCTTATTAAAGGCTAGTGGGGAGACTCTGAAGTAATGTTTTACAAAACAGGAAGCCTAGTAGGAATAAACAGGAAAACAACCAAAACCTGGCATTCTGCAGTGGAAAAGAGATCTGAGTAAAGGTTCAAAGAGGTGAGGGGAACTTTATCTGGCACTGCAGACTACTGGTCTGGTTTCAAACAGGTAAGAACAAAGATTGTTAAACTCACGGCTTGCTTGATTGCTGGAATTGGTCCCGTTCCCATAACGGAAGGATCTACGCCTGCTTGTGACCAGGAAACTATCTGTGCTAAAGGTGTCAGCCCACGATCAGCAGCCTCTGACTTCTTCATAAGGACCACAGCTGCAGCACCATCATTTATTCCTGTAAAATATGAATGTCTTTATTGCTAGAATAATGCTCATTAACCTCGGTTCTATATCTGTGCCTGCTTTCCCTTCCACTGAAGGTAAGAGTTAAATTATTCTTAAAACATTTTGGCAGAACTGTTCCCATAATTCGACAGACTTTACTGTGTAGTTAGAAATGCTAAGTTTGAAGGCAAAGATTAGTCCAAAGGACTAATTGACGACAACTACCACAGCCTCCACCAGACTGGGTCCAGCACAACTAGATGGTGCCCGGCTACCATCACTCACTGCTCTGACAGGGATGGCAACAGAGGGTCCTGGACAGAGCTGGAGAAAAATGTAGAACAAAATTCAAACACAAAAAAAGATCAGACTTAGTGGCCTGACAGAGATGAGAAACCCCAAGAGTATGGCCTCCCAGACATCCTTTTAACTCAGTACTGAAGTCACTCCTGAGGCTCATCCTTCAGCCAAAGATTAGACAGGCCCATAAAACAATACCTCAACCATGTACACGAGACTAAATGGGCACACCAGCCCAGCGGCAAGGACAAGAAGGCAGGAGGGGACAGGAAAGCTGCATGAATGGAAATGGGGAAGCCAAGGTCAAGAAGGAGAGAGTGTTGACATGTCATGGGGGCTGACAACCAATGTTACAAAACAATGTGTATTAATTGTTTAATGAGAGATTAATTTGCTCTGTAAACCATCTAAAGCACAAATAAATAATTCAAAAAAAAAAAAGAAATGGTAAGTTTGACAATGTAACATAACTGGTCACAGAACATTCTAACTAAAGAAAGTGGAAAGATTAAAGAGTTGGGGAGGGAAGGCTTAGGAACAGTAGGGAAATGGAAAAACTAAGTCCAGACCTTATAGGAGGGGTTAGGGGTTTCGCATATTGGAAAAATTAGAAGGGAATGGTTCCATAATTTTAGTTTTTTTGTCTAGTTAAGACATCAGAAAAAGAAACCCATTCTTTCAATATAGGTTAAATCAATTATCAAATATAGAGAAACTACATTTTTTCCTAAAGATACTAAAGCAAATTTTCAGAATAACTTTGTGTATAAACAGTTAACGAAATGAAAAGTTAGAAAAAAGGTTTTAACTTGGTAGTAGACTTGCACATCTGCCTTACAGAGTCTCTAACCTGAAGCATTAGCTGGGGTAACTGTTCCTGTTCCATCTGTAATAAAGCAAGGCTTTAGCTTCGACATAGCTTCTATGTTGCTCCCATGTCGAGGAAACTCATCTGTTTTAACTTCAGTAAGACCTGAAAAAAGGAAAATCGGTTACCCAAGCTGAGTACAGAAACGGCACTGCGCACACTATAGACATCTGGTAGATTTCTCAGAGTGATCTGTGATTCCAATTTGGAAGAAAGGCGTACTACCATATACCCACTTTCCTTCCAATAGGAGGGAAGTACACACTAATATAATTATCGTGTCTTAAAACATTTCATGAGAACTCTCCTCAAAAGGGGGCTCCGACGGGAATGGGGTTATTGCCTACCGGGTACATAATGTGTTTTGGGCGATGAAAAAGTCGTGGAAGTATCTTAGTGGTGATGGTTACACGGCATTGAACTGTACACTTGAAAATAGTTAAAATGGCAGATTTTATGTGATATGTATCTTTACCACAATAAAAATTTTTGATTTTTTAAGAGAGCTCAAGAGGAACACAAGTTTGGATTTCAAGTGCAAGGAAAATCGGTTTGCTTTTTGGAAATCTGTAATATACAAAACAGCAACTATTTGGGAATGCATACTTTTTCTCTGGGATCCTCTCATTTCAGGCCATCAGAGTAGCCACCCCAGTGTGCCCTCAGCATGTGTGCCGTTAAGGAAACCAGCTTCCATTAAGCTGAAGAGCATGTTAGAGGATGCACCCATCAACTTGCATTGGACAAGCTTAGCGTCCTTGGCCCTTCTGGTTTCCATGCCAATGAACAATGTGGGGTAAAGAACCTAGTTTTACCCTAAGTAATGTGGCCTTTGTCTTTGGCTCCAAGATTTGTGCTGTTGCTGGGACTGTCAGACCAGAAAAGACTCACCTGGGAGGCCAACATCAACCAGTCTCAGGAGGCATGATTTAGCCTATCATACTGATAAAAGCCCTGAACATGAAGGCTCAGAGAGCTTCCTGGTTGGAGGGGACATCTGCTCTCAGGACGGTAATGCATCCCTTAGGAAATGGAAGCTCCACGTTGGGAGCCCTCCCAGACCTTGCCCTACGCATCTCTTCGTATGTATCCTTTTTCACTATAATAAATCTAGTCATAAGTATGGTATACTCTCCGTGAGTTCTGAGTTGTTCCAGTGAATTACTGAACCCAAAGTGGTAAGGAGGGCCAGCAAGTCAGAAAGTAAGGACTCCCGAGCTTGCAGTTGGCATCCTGAAAAAGTAGTGGGAAATCAGCCCCAAATCTGAGGCCAGAAGGGCAGAAGGTTGGAGTGTTGGGTGTACTCCCCAAACTTGCAGCTGGCATCTTCCTTTATGGCAGTCTAAAGGATGGTGTCCTTTTAATTTGTGAGCTCTGACCCAACTTTGGGTGGCTAGAGTTGGAGTGCCACAGGGGCAACTGGCGATGAGGACAGAAAGGTGGGAAGGTGGGGACTAGGCCCATCTCCACATTTTGAGAGTTGGATTCATGTTGATCCTTACCAAGTAGCCGGCAATGAAGGTGGAATTTACCAACTTTACACAAACAAGATCTAACGTCTTTTGAAAAACGAACTAGCTAAAACCCAGAATGCAAAAACGAGTAGCAATGATTTCCAATGGACTTACAGATAACGTACAAGCGAGCCTGCTTAATAGACAAATGCAGATCACGTCATTGTATGCACTCTATCCTGGCTTCCCTTTACAAATGAATTATTTTCTATTAAAGTGTTGCTTAAATGCTCCTTCAAAAATCATTTCCAAGTCACTCCTCTATATTGGCTACCTCACAGTAACTGGTCTCTCTGGTGCGTATGAAATTCCATGCATGTACTTGACAGTCCATGAGACATTTTGGCTCTTTTCCATATCCACAGCCCTTTCTGAGGAAAGCAGTTGGAGTTCTTTGTACAAAACGTTGCTAAGGTTTGAGTCATAGGACTTTGCTAGTTACAACGGACAGGATCAGGGAGTATCAAGGCCAGTCTCATAAGCGCTGGACATAAGAAAAACTGGTCATCAAAAAGGGAACTGGACCAGAGCACTCCATATTAGCTAATGACCAAGTGACCCAAAAAGATTCACTCTTGAGAGATCTAAACATAAGATATCAAAAAGGGAACTGGACCAGAGCACTCCATATTAGCTAATGACCAAGTGACCCAAAAAGATTCACTCTTGAGAGATCTAAACATAAGATGCACACAGAAGCAACAGGAAGTAGCGGATGTTCACTTTTGAGGAGATTTGACCTATAGGGACAGCAAGTCAGGTGTAGCCTACCAGCCAAGAACCAGTGCTCCAGTTTTTCATGAAACCTGCTGTATGAGCTTATCAGCCTCAGACACAGGAATCAAGAGTGTCTAAATACTGATAGTTTCCCGTGTTTCCTCACGCTGTAAACTTAGTGTCCCCACCCCATCTCCACATTCAGATGTATCCAGGTACATCTTTCTTGTGAAAGGCCTAACTAAGACACGATTTCTATTTTGGCCTTGCAAAACATTCCTATGTATTATTCTTTTGGATATTACTCATCAATAAACCCACCTTTTCTGGAAGACACAAACACTGGTACAATCTCTTTGTCAAAATGGCCAGCTTTCTGTGCGCTCTCTGTCCTGTTCTGGGACAGAAGTGCCACCTTGTCTTGATCTTCTCTACTCACTTGCCATTTTTTGGCTACATTTTCAGCTGGGGAAGACAAAAAAAGAAAGGCAAAAAACAGACATTTTCATGAACTGGCTCTTGATCGCTCAAGCTGTTCACATTTAAACCAGCACTGACCACACAGCACGAGCAGGCTCTCAGGTGGGTATGTGCTCTGTGGCAACCCTGCCACCACGGCAGTGAATGTGGAAATGTCCCATAGACTCCCGAGAAGCCATTTTCTCTCCTTCTGCCCTAGTCTCCTAGGGCTGCCATAACAAACTACCCCAAACTAGAAGGCTCAAAACAACGGAAATTTATTCTTTCACAGCTCTGGAGACTAGAAGGCCAAATTCAGGGTGTCAGCAGGGCCATGCTCTCTGAAGGCTCTCGAGAAGGATCCTCCCTTGCCTCTTCCAGCTTCTGGTGGCTCCTGGCGATCCTTGGCTTGTAGATGCATCACTCCAACATCTGCCTTAGCCTTCACATGGCATCCAGCCTCTGTCCGTCTCTCTGTCTCTTCTCCTCTTACAACAGTCATACGGGATTAGGGCCGACCGTACTCGAGGATGACCTCATGTTAACTGATAACAGCTTCAAAGACTCTATCTCCAAACAAGGTCACAACTGCAGGTACGAGGGGGGCTTCATCCAACCCAGAACACATATTTCATTTTTCTTCCTTCTTTTCTGTATAATTTTAAACTTACAGAACTAGTCTTTATGCAGTCACCAATTGTTTACATTTTGCTCCATTTGCCTCTCTTTCTGAACCATTTGAGAGAAAGTTGGAGATGCCATGCCCCTTTACTTCTGAATTTTAATTTCAGCATACATCTCCCCAAAACAAGGTCATTCTCTTACATAACCACAGTTATCAAAATTAGGAAATTTAACCTCAGTACAATTTATTGTTGTTGTTAAGTGCTATAAAGTCAGTTCCTACTCATAGCGACTCCATACACAACAGAACGAAACACTGCCCAGCCCTGCACCATCTTCACAAACATTGCTATGTTTGAGCCCATTGTTACAGCCAATGTGTCAATACATCTCGTTGAGGATCTTCCTCTTTTTTGCTGACCCTCTACTTACCAAGCATGATATCCTTCTCCAGGGATCGGTCCCTCCTGATAACATGTCCAAAGTATGTGAGACGAAGTCTCACCATCCTTGCTTCTAATGAGCATTCAATTAAGAGCTCAGCTGCTAACCAAAAGGTGCAGTTCAAATCCACCAGCTGCTCCTTGGAAACCCTATAGGGCAGTTCTACTCTGTCCCATAGGGTCGCTATGAGTTGGAATCAACTTGACAACGACAGGTTTGGTTTTGGTATTCAATACGATACTGTTTATCAAATCCTTGGTCCAATTCAAATTTCAACTATTGCCCCAATGATGCCCCTTACAGCTATTTTATTTGTTCAGTGCAGGAGCTAACCCAGGGTCATGCATTGCATTTCCTTTACCTGGCACAGTTCTTCAAAATATCTTTGTGTTTCTTGACTGTATTGGTTTTCTAGTGCTGCTGTATGTAACAGAAATACCACAAGTGGGCAGCTTAAACAAACAGAAATTTATTTTCTCACAGTTTAGGACAGTCTGAATTCAAGGCACCAGTTCTAGGGGGAGGCTTTCTCTGTTGGCTCTGGGGGAAGGCCCTTGTCTGTTTTCAGCTTCTGTTCCTTGGTTCCTTGTCGATCTTCATGTGGCGATCTTCGTGTGGCGTGGCATTTATCTTCTCCCATTCCTGCTTGCTTGCTTCTGTGCCTAATCTGCTCCTTTTATATCTCAAGAACGACTGGCTTAAGATACCCCCTATACCAATATGGCTTCATTAACATGATGAAGAAAACCCTATTCCCAAACAGGATTACATCCACATGGATAGGGGTTAGAATTCCAACACATATTTTGCGGGAACACAATTCAATCCATAACATTGACCTTGATATTTTTGAAGAGAAGGGGCCAGTTCTTTGGCGGAATGTCCCCTAATTCGGGCTTGCCCGACTTCCTCGTTAGGTTAAGATTATGCGAAAGGCAGGCAGGTAGACACTGACTGACACTGTGATCTTCTCTGGACATCTTATCAGGCCACTTGAAGCCAGTTTATCTCAGGCGACATAAGCTTTCAACACTTGGTTAAAGAGGTGTCCAGCAGGTTTCCCCACTGTAAAGTTACTATTTTTCCATTTATAATTAATAAGTAATCTATGAGAAGTTACTTTCATATTAAAATGTCTTCCTCATCAAATGCTCACCCCACTAATTTCAGCACTCATTCATGATTTTCTAACTCCAACGTTCCTTCTAGACGTATTAATCGGCATTCTCCTGTAAACAAGAGCTTTCCCTCCTCTCCCCACTTATTCAGTTATTTACATCAATATGGACTCCTGCATCTTCATTTTATTTAATCAGTTATAATCTGTTACTATTGTTTATTTATTCTTTATAACAGGCTTTACTTTGTAGAGCAGTTTTAGGTGTACACAAAAATTATGCAGACAGTAGAGAGTACTCATATGCCCCCTTCCTCCCTTGCAGTTTCTCCCATTATTAGCATCTTGCATTTGTGTGATACATTTGTTACAACTGATGAACCAGTATCAAAGTCCACAGTTTACATTAGGGTTCACCCTGTGTTATACGGCCCTATGGGTTTGGACAAATGCATCTGGCATGTGTCCACCATGACGGCATCACACGGAGTAGTCTCACCGCCCTAAAAATGCCCTGTGCTCTGCCTGCTCACCGCTTCCCTCTCCCTGCCAACACCTACTATCAGTATTTGTTTTGATTCCCAAATTGCCCAAGATATGGGCAGTGGGAGCGCCTTTAAACTGACTCCTATGTCCTTCTGACATGTCCCCAGGATGAGCACTTGCTTATTTTTTAGCAATTTTGTCCCAGTGCTGCAATGAGGCATTCCTCCAAGGAACTCTAGTTACTGTTATTGGAGAATGGTATTTAGAAACAAAGAACTGGGTGTGAGGACTGCTCATTGTAACCAGTATGTCACTGTTTCTAGGCCTCTTTCTAGACATATATACCATTTGCACCATAAATATATGTATTTCTTTAACCTTTCTAAAGTTAATACACCTTTGGTGATGTCTGCCTTACCTGTAACTCCCATGTGATAGTGGTGGAATGCATCTGTAAGACCATCACAGAGTAGGCTATCAAGTAGAGGCATCTCACCCATCTTCACTCCTGTTCTCAAGTGAACCAAGTGAGGAGCCTGGGAAAAGAAATACCAGTGGATTTGGGTTTGGTTGTAATTAGTCCTCTCCTTACGATCCCACTCAAAACTATCCACAATGTTTCATCAGTCTTCGTCCAGTCCCCCTTGCTACCCCTTCTCCCTTCTTCCCGCCCATTCTCCTCCTCACTCAGGCCCCAGGGCTTAAAGGTCCCTGAAGTTAGCAGACTACTCTACCCTGCCTATCTTGGGAAGCCATTACTCTACCTACCCATTCCTGTTTCATCAAAACCTACCCATTCTGTGTCCTAGCTCCTTAACAAACCAAAACCCACTGCATTGTTGTCAAGTCAATTCCAACTGACAGTGACCCTATAGGACAGAGTGGAACTGCCCCACTATGTTTCCTAGGCTGTAATCTTTACAGGAGCAGACGGCCAGGTCTTTCTCCCAGGAAGCTACTGGTGGGTTTGAATCGCCCACCTTTAAGTTAGCAGCCAAGCACTTAACCACCGCACCACCAAGGCTCCTCCCCTAGTTCTTTAAGAACCCCATTTACTCCTTCCAAAGAGGCAACTAGTTAGCTGTTAATTGACCAGCTCACCTGGGGCTGAAGAGACGCCAATGATGTATTGCTTACTTCGATGGGAGACATAATGCCTACAGTGAGACTAATCAGGTTGCCTAATTAACTGATGGGGAGGGATTTCTGGCCGGAGGGTGCTCTTAACTCCCACCAACTCAACAGCAGCTATAATAGAGTAGAAAGAGTACTGAATTGGAGTCAGCAGACTGTACTGGAATCCCAGCTCTGGGCCTCAGTTTCCTTATCTGTAAACTAGGGATGATACCATCTAACCTATATGGAGTCCCTGGGTGGTGCAAATGGTTAAGCACTTGAGTATTAGCCAAAAGGTTGATGGTTCAACCTACCCAAAGGCATCCCAAAACACAGGCCTGGCAATCTGCTTCCAAAATATCACAGCCTTGAAAACCCTATGGAGCAGTTCTACTCTGTCACATGGGGCCACCATGAGTTGGAACTGACTCAATGGTAACTAACACCAACAACCTGTAAGGGTTGTTTTGGGACTTCAGAAAGACCTCATGTATAAAAGCACCTAGTAAAGCATGACACGAATGTTAGTCTAGTTCTGTAAGCTCCTGTCCAAATCAGTGATCGTTTTGCTATCTCCAGCCTCCTTGCTCCTGAGCCTCGGCGGTGGTCAGGCTGAGTCAGCCTCTGATCAGGGATCCCCAGGCCAGACACTGAGCTGCCTCAACGGGAAGCGGGAGGCACACATTTCCTTTCTACTGCTGTCGCAGTCTAAGCGACGGAACTTGCTGAAACACATTGTGTCTGGCACACTGACTGGAGAGGGCACATTCACAGGTCACTCTTCCATGGTCAATCCCTCTAAAAGGTCAGCAAAGCCTGGTCCCTGGGGCCCTCCTTGTCATTTGCAAGAAGGAAAGTGGCAACGTCTGTCTGCCTTCTCCTCATAAGGAATTTTAAAAAGGGGCACCAGTGACTAATGTTGTGGGTTCAGTTCAGGAAATATTTTATGCTCCAGTAACAACATTTTAAACAATATATTTTGTTCCAAATGGTGCTAGTTGACAAGTACTTCTCTTCATCTTGCATTTCCCATCCACTCTGAAGAATAGCTAACATTCAGGTAGAGTTCAAGGACGAGTCTATTTTTCTGTCTGCTTATTTGTTTACAATTTGCTTCAAGCCCTGCTATGCATCCATTTACTCCACTATGGCAGGGTGGTGAGTTTGTCAGCAAGAGGTCAGTGAGAGCTGTCTCCTTGGAGGTCTTACCTTGCTCATATTTTCCATGCCTCCTGCAACCACGATGTTGGAGTCTCCCGTCCCTACTGACTGGGCTGCAAGGCACACGGCTTTCAGGCCTGACCCACAGATCATCTGGCAACTCCACGCCGGAACAGTGTAGGGGATTCCTGCCCCTACACTGGCTTGTCGGACAGGATTCTGCCCACAACCTGGAAGAAGGAACACACATGCCTCTCAGCAATCAATGAAGAAGATAGAATGTCACAATAAGAGCAGATGCAAAGTCAGGAAATTGCCTCCTGCCACTTCTGAAAGCCCATAGGCCAGCTAAGTTCCCTCCAGAGGCAGACAGGCCTGTATGCATCTATACCTAACATAGTTGAACCCTTGAATATACTGCCTTGTCCTGCTCTCTAGTCCCTGGGTGGCACAAATGGCCACTGACTGAAAGGTTGGTGGTTCGAACCCACCTAGAGGCACTGTAGAAGAAAGGTCTGGCAATCTGTTTCCAAAAGGTCACAACCTTGAAAACCCTATGGAGCAGTTCAACTCTGCATGCATGGATGGGGTCACCATGAGTCGGAATCAACTCGATGAAAACTGGTTTGGTTTTTAGTTTTTTTATACTGCTCTCTAATTATTTTAATCACATGCTTTCTACCCTTCATCCCTAAAGATGAAGAAAATAGGAAGATAATAAAAATGGAGACAATAGGATCCAACAGTTATTCAGAGGATTGAGCGAGGTAATAAAAGTAAAGCACTTAGCACAGCTTTAAAGGGCTGTTGTTGTTGTTAAAGGCCTAGTACTCAATAAACATGGCTATTACTTTTACTGTTGACTGTGTGGGAGATTCTGTACAAGTGAGAGAGACAGAAGGAGACAGCAGAGACACCAGTGGAGTGCCCTTCACAATCAAGAAAGAATAAACCAGGGGTCTGAGAGGGCCTTGGAAAACCATGAGAAAGTGGTGTGGTTTATACCAGACTTTAACGCCCACAAGGACAAGTTGGGAAAGTGGGAATTAGGGGCAGCTCTCAGACAGAGTCAGGACTAAAGATGGTTTGGGGTGAATGTTACCAGTATGCATTACTAGTAAGTAGAATGTACGCTGCTGAACGAGCACAAAATGAGTGACTGGTGACTGGTTAGGAGTGGTCAGGGGTCACCGGTCTACAATCCAAGCAGGAATGAGAAGTGAGACTGCCCCGCCCTCTCTCTGTGAGGAGCACCACGTGCAGTGTCTGTCTTCCTGCTGCACATCCGGGACCTGTGAGTGGCACCTCAGCAGGAGTGTCTCTGGAAGGAAAGGCCACCACGGTCGCCTCAGCAGCCCCTTCAACAGGAGGACTGACGACAGACAAGAACCCAGGAGTGTGGAGTGCAGAGGCATCATGGGGCTCCAAGGCAGCCAGCAAACTGTCCCCAGGAATTCTTAAAGGGGGCTATTCACTTCAGTAGGCACGCGCTGGGGCTACCGAAATAAAGAAACCTTGGTCCTTACCTGGAGGCTAGAAGCTTTGCTAACGACTCTAGACCCAGCTAGAACTGGGTCTCTTGGGTCCTTCAACTTGGTCCCACCCTGGAGCCCAGCTATATGTGGAGAAAGAAATAGGCAAAGCACAAAGAAATAAGAAACAAGCAAGGCAACGAAGAAAAGATAAGGCACAGAAAATGTAACCCCAAAATCACCTCAAGGAAAACTGAGCTTATGACAAGCTTCAATATCTTATCACTTTTCTTCATCTTCTCCTCATGAAAGTCCCTAGCTTGCACCGGGGGAAAGAAATGTAGTAACCTCAGTGCTGGATTGTTAGCTATCCCGGAGAGATCTTTTTTTTAAAAACTAGTTCAGGATTAGGACAGTGCTTAACATCAATAAACGAATCCCTAGTGGAGGGGATTGCATGTACCTAATTGTGGCGTTGGCAAAGAATACTGAATATACCATGGACTGCCAAAAGAACCAACAGGTCTGTCTTGGAAGAAGTACAACCAGAATGCTCCTTAGAAGCAAGGATGGCCAGACTACGTCTCACATACTTTGGACATGTTGTTAGGAGGGATCAACCCCTGCAGAAGGACATCATGCTTGGTAAAGTACAGACTAAGTGAAAAAGAGGAAGACCCTCAATGAGATGGACTGACACAGCGGCCGCAACACTGAAAGGGGCTGTGTGGAAATTTCACATTTACTGTTTCTTGCCAGCAGTATAGGCCTAGCTTCCTGGGTATTATAGTATTGCTAATGCCTAGCTTGCAGAGTTCACTTTTGCATGCTCCTATGATTTTATTTTCCTCCTATCCCCCCTCTTGCTTTCCCATGATTTTAAAGCTTAAGTTTAACCTAAGTTTCTCTTTGAGAGGTAGAATGACAAGTGCTGAACAAGGAAAAATCATCTTATAGTCGAAACCCGGACAGCGTCAGAAGGCCAACATGTCTAGAATGAGGCCAGGGTGCCCACCTCAAAGGGGGAGCTAACATTCTACAGATTCTTCGGACCCTGACCCTGTCCCAATAAAATCCTCTGATCAGCCTCCAATTACCACCATTGCTTCTAGTCCCTGCTTTTCCTCATATTTTCTTTTTTGTTATTCTTTCTCCCTCCTCCTATTCCAGTAAGATTAACTAAAGTTTCTCCTTAGAGGGTGGCAGAACAAATTAATAACCCTCAAGGACTAGGATTAACTCATCTGCGACATGACAATCGTGACTAACAGTGCCAGATGACCTTCAAGGATCGCCAGTAAAAAGGTAGATCATCTGCAGCATGCAGAATGTGACCACCAGAAGAGAAATTACAACCCTGTCCATATAAAAACTTTCAGCCAGTCTCCAGTGGAAGAGACAGGTCTTTTGGAGGAACTCATTCCCCTCTGTCTCCTGTATATCAATACGCAATAAAACACTCTTGCTGCTCACCTCACCCCGTCTCAGTATTGGCTTCTGTGGCAGGCGGCTCAGACCCTCCACTGCGGTAACAACAATGGGCTCTAACATAACAACAATTATGAGGTTGGCACAGGAATGAGCAGCGTTTCGTTCTGTTGTACACAGGGTCACTATGAGTCGGAACCAACTCAACGGCACCTAACAACAATAATACTAAGCCTCAAGTTTCAGTATTGAAGGACTCTATGGGTAAAACACTGAATGACACAAGAAGCATCAAAAGAAGTTGGAAGGAACACACAGAGTCACTGTACCAAAAAGACCTGGTCCACATTCAACCATTTCAGGAGGTAGCGCATGATCAAGAACTGATGGTACTGAAGGAAGAAGTCCAAGCTGCACTGAAGGCGTTGGTGAAAATCAAGGCTCTAGGAATTGACGGAATACTGACTGAGATGTTTCAACAAATGGATGCAGCGCTTGAAGCGCCTATGCCAAGAAATTTGAAAGACAGCTACCTGCTCAGTTGACTGGAAGAGATCCATATTTGTGCCCATTTCAAAGAAAGGTGATTCAACAGGATGAAGAAATTATCAAACAATACCATCAATATTACATGCAAGGAAAATTTTGCTGAAGATAATTCAGGAATGATTGTGGCCGTACATCGACAGGGAACTGCCAGAAACTCAAACCAGAGTCAGAAGAGTACTTGCAACAAGGGACATGAGAGCTGATGTCAGATGGATCCTGGCTGAAAGAAGAGAATATCAGAAAGATGTTTACCTGTGTTTTACTGACTATGCAAAGGCATTCGACTGTGTGGATCATAACAAATTATGGATAACACTGTGAAGAATGGGAATTCCAGAACACTTAACTGTGCTCATGAGGAACCTGTACACAGACCAAGAGACAGTCGTTCGAACAGAACAAGGGGACACTGGGTGGTTTAAAGTCAGGAAAGGTGTGCATCAGAGTCGTATCCTTTCCCAAACTTTTTCAATCTGTATGCTGAGCAAATAATCTGAGAAGCTGGACTATATGAAGAAGAACAGGGCATCAGGATTGGAGGAAGACTCATTAACAACCTGCATTATGCAGATGACACAACCTTGCTTGCTGAAAGTGAAGAGGACTTGAAGCACTTACTGATGAAGATCAAAGACCACAGCCTTCAATATGGATTACACCTCAATGTAAAGAGAACAAAAATCCTCACAACTGGACCAATAAGCAACATCATGACAAATGGAGAAAAGACTGAAGTTGTCAAGGATTTCATTTTACTTGGATCCATAATCAACACCCACTGAAACAGCAGTCAAGAAAGCAAATGACATATTGCGTTGGGCAAATCTGCCACAAAAGAACTCTTTAACGTGTTGCCAAAAGTACAGCAAATCTGTCTTGGAAGAAGTACAGCCAGAATGCTCCTTAGAAGCAAGGATGGCAAGACTTTGTCTCACATACTTCGGACATGTTATCAGGACGGATCAGTCCCTGGAGAAGGACATCATGCTTGGGAAAGTAGAGGGTCAGCGAAAAAGAGGAAGACCCTCAACAAGATGGATTGACACAGTGGCTGCAACAACAGGCTCAAGCAGAGCAACGGCTGTGAGGATGGCGCAGGACTGGGCAGGGTTTTGTTCTGTTGTATACGGGATTGCTCTGAGTTGGAACCGACTCGACAGCACCTAACAACAACGAACTGTTGAAAAGCAAAGACGTCACTTTGAGGACTAAGGCGCACCTGACCCAAGCCATGGTATTTTCAATCACCTCATATGGATGCAAAAGCTGGACAATGAACAAGGAAGACCGAACAACTGATGCCTTTGAATTATGGTGTTGGTGAGGAATATTGAATATAACATGGACTGCCAGAAGAATGAATAAATCTATCTTGGAAGAAGTACAGCCGGAATACTTCTTAGAAGTGAGGATGGTGAACTTCATTTCACATACGTTGGACATTTATGAAGAGGGATCAGTTCCTGGAGAAGGACATCATGCTCGATAAAGTATAGAGTCAGTGAAAAAAAGGAAGACCCTCAATAAGATGGACTGACACAGTGGCTGCAACAATGGGCTCAAACATAACAATGATCATGTGGATGGCGCAGGACCGGATAGTGGGTTTTGTTCTGTTTTGTTTTGTTGTACATAGGGTCGCTATGAGTCAGAACCAACTGGATGGCACCTAACAACAATAGTAATCTCAAAAGCCAACATTTACTACTTCTAGGTGCAGTAATTCACTCAATCCTCACATTAACTCTAAGAAATACTATTATTTTTATCCCTATTTTACACCTAAGGAAAATAAGGCACAGAGAGCTTAAGCAACTTACACAAAATCACCCAAGAACAAGTGGTAGAACTGGGATTTGAACCTGTAGTCCGGCACATAACCTCTTCACTCTGTCCTTGCACTGCTCCCTCCAGATTTCCCACTCAGTGATTCAAAACTAGCCCTTTCCCCAACCTCTTCTCTGCATGTTGTTTTCCCGAGCACACTGCTTTGCCTGCAGCCCCATCAGTGGCAGCTGCTCATCTCGCAAGCCTCACTGATGAAAGACTGAAAGCAGGGCCCTGTCCTTGCTCAGTGTCACTTGCAGACCATGACCCTGCTGACCTATCATAAGACCCTGCTCCTTGGCAGCCCATGCCCTCAGGCAGCATTTTCCCCTCCCCCAAGCTGTCATTCCAACTCCTTACCTTATTCTTTCTAAACTTCACTCCTTAGTGTTCTCCTCCAGCCCAACTCCTGCATCATTCTCAGCTGCCTCAGCACCCATATGGTGGCCCCAGGCAACACACTGACCTCCCAGTTCCTCGAACCTTCCTGTCCAAACTTCCTCTCTTCCAGCTCAACTCCCTCAGGTCAATGGCCAAGCTGTGGACCTTGTCTGTCATCAACACCAACTACACAATTCTCAGTTTACTTATCCAAACATTCTACTATCTGGCCAGCAGCACACTGGTACAATTCTTTGACCTCATACCAGTTGCAGCTGCACAGACTCCAACTCATGGCAACCCCATGTGTGCAGAGTAGAACTGCTCCGTGGGGTTTTTAAGGCTGTGACCTTCAGAAGCAGGTCGCCAGGCCTTTCTTCCATGGTGCCTCTGGGTAGGTCTGAACCGCCAACCTTTCAGTTAGTAGTGCTTAACCATTTGCACCATCCAAGGACTCCCTCCAAATCGCTCACTTGTCACATTATCCTTGTCCATCAGCCACATCCTTCTTTACCTTCCTCCTTATCCAGCTCAGAAGTGAGCCTGATGAGAACAATGAGCTTATCTGTGTTGTTGGAGCCAGATCCCCAGCACCTAGCACACTACTAGCACACAGGAGAAATTCAGTATATTTTATTAATGGTGACATTTCAGGGAGCATGGAGAGCCATGTGTAACCTCCTATGCATCAGGCCGGCCCTCCTTCTGGAGAATGAAAAAATGCTGTAGGACAAGTGGTCTAGGTTCATTCCGGAAAGCATGTTAAAGAAGCTATTGGCAGAGCTTCGCAGATGGGGGACGGAGGTGTTCTAACACAGGGAAACCCATGAAGCAGACGTATGGAGGCGAGAATGTAAGTCTGTGTGTTAAGAAGGTGTTCCTAACAAATGTGACCTCTTCCGGGGTCACTGGTGAGTTAGTTACCTGCTGTTAAAACATTTCCAAATATGACCTCAGACACCTCCGCTGGAGCCACACCGGCCCTCTTCAGGACTTCTTTGATGACAGCTGCGCCCAGGTCATGAACAGGAACAGTAGATAAGGAACCATTGAAGGAGCCTAAAACACATCGGGGGAGAGAGTGGACAGCTGAAGCCTGAGGCTGATGAAGGAAGCCCACCCATGCTTGGGGCTCCAGGGCCCCTCACATCCAAGCATTGAGATGAGCCTGTGGGTGCACCCTTTTCCCTGCACAGGCTTGCACACCAGCAAGTCTGGGCAAAGGGCAAAGGTGCTTGTCACAACTTGCCACAGCTGAGAATGGGATATGTGACACTCAGAAAGGTTTATGGAAGCCTCTAAACAAGTTTCTGTCAAGTCGATTCCGACTCACAATGACCCTATAGGACAGAGTGGAACTGCCCCATATGGTTTCCAAGGAGCAGCTGGTGGATTCGACCTGTCAACTTTTCAGTTAGCAGCCAAACACTTAACCACTGCGCCACCAGGGCTCCGTGGAAGCCTCTGGCCAAGGGGAAAAGCCTTGCCATCTATTTTCAGAAACCTGAGGGGATGGATACCTCCCAGGGCTTCCCAAACAAAACAGGTCAAGAGATCTCTGTCGAAAGGCTTTGAAAACTCTAAAGAACTAAGGAGATAAATGCCAACTAGCATTCTGCATTATTTAACCAACCGGAGGAGCCCCAGCTTGTCCTCTCCAGCTCAGTTCATCTGGTTGGTGTCCCCACAGCTTGTACCCCCCACCATCTGGATCGACCCCCCAACTTGGTCCCCTCAGCTCACGTCCCTACTTCCCCCCACCCCAAGCTCTTCCTCCTCTCGCCCCCCTCAGTATGCCCAGCTTGTCCTCCATGGCTAGTCCCTCATCCCCTCATCCCCATTAATGGTCCCCTCAACTCGTCCCTCCACTTCCCTCCAGCTCATTTCTGCCCTGCTCCTTCCTCCTCATTCCCCCTACCCCTAGGTCGTCCTCCAGCCCCACGGTTCTTCGTTTCTTTCCCCCCACCCTGTCCCCTCAGCTCAATCTCTCCCCTCCTGCTTGTTCCCTCCAGGTCATCCCATCAGCTTGTCCTCCCAGCTCGGTCCCCTTGGTTGTGCCCTCAGGTCAGTTGTCGCCCTCACCCATTTGTCCCCCGAAGTGGTTCCCCTCCCTCGCCCTTCCCCGCTAGATCCCCCCCAGCTCATCTCCCAGGCCTGTTCCCTCAGTCCCCCCACGGTTTGTCCTCCCCAGTTCCTTAAGTCCCACCCTAGTTCATCCCCCTCAGCTCGTCCCCTCAGCTCAGACCACCCCTCCAGGTCATTCCACCTCAGTCCATCCCCTCGCCAACCCCACGCCACCACAGGTGTGACCGGGGGCTCCTGACGCTAGCCAATCAGGGGCCTCACGAGAGGGTGCGTCCCTGCGTCAGCCAATAGCAGCCCCAGGTCGAGCATGGCGCTACCTCAGGGAGCCAATTAGAGCCCGCGGGAGGGCGGCCCAACGGGACCCCGGGTTCCCCTTGCACCGCTGTCCGCCCTCTCCTCCTCCACAGCGGGTCCCCTCGTCCCCTGCACCGCCGGCCACCCTCTCCTCCTCCGCAGCGGGTCTCCTCGCCCCGAGCACCGCCGGCCGCCCCCTCCTCGTCCACCGCGGGTCTCTTCACCCCGTGCACCGCCGCATGCTCCTCCACCGCCGGCCGTGCCCCCTCCTCCACCGCGGGTCTCTTCACCCCGTGCACCGCCGCATGCTCCTCCACCGCCGGCCGTCCCCCCTCCTCCACCGCGGGTCGCCTCGCCCGGTGCAGCGCCGGCCGCCCCCTCTTCCTCCACTGCGGGTCGCCTCGCCCAGTGCATCGCCGCCCGCCTGGCGAGCGTGCAGACGGCTAGGCAGCTCTGACGCCCGCTCGTCCGCCCGCCAGCCGCTCACCGATGGCGGTCCGTGCCGCCGAGACAATGACCACGGGGTCCGGGCTTGCACTCATCCTGCCGCTGCCGCTGCCGCTGCTCCGCTACTGTGAAGCCCCGCACGGCGGGTGCGAAAGAAGGCCCACCAGCCCGCCCTCAGGCCGCGCGGGGGCGGAGACAGCGCCCGCCCCGCCCGCCCGCGGCCTCCGCGCAGCCGCCAGTGCGCAGGTCCGGGGAGGAGGGGCGGGGGGGCGTTCCAGATTGGCGGGCCCAAAATCCTCCACACCCCCGACACTCCCACCAACACCCCAGCGTGGGCTGTGGGCGGGGCGGCGAACCGCGACACCCCCAAACCCCCGGGCCCTCTCACGGACACTTCAGTGCAGGCAGGGCTACGGACCCAGACCCCCCCTAGATCCTCCCACTGACACGCCAGTGCAGGTTGGGCTCAGACCCCGACACTCCTCCACCCTCAGAACCTCCCTCCGACATCCCAATGTGGGCGAGGCTGCGGACCCCAACACCCTCACACCCCCAGACCCTCCCACTGACACCCCAGCGGGGACGGGTCTGTGGATCCCGACTTCTCCGCATCTCTGGGCCCTCCGACGGACACCCACAGACTCTCCTACGGACACCCGATGTGGTACACCGCTTCTCAGCTTTTCTTTCTTGTTATTTTTTACTTTTAGGGTTTTTTTTGAGTCAGTAAAGAATGCAGGTAACACTATCTCGGGTCAGCCTGGGACTGGAGTCCCAGAGTTTGGAATCATGGACGTTGAGTCCTGCAAAGTGCAAGGCTAGGGGCTGTTCTGAAGTGGAGTTTTGCGCTAAGGGCCTAAAAAGTTCCCATGCATTTTGCCTGGGCGCCAACAGTCATTCATCCACGTTAGGTAATAACTGGGTTCTCATCTATGCAGACTCGTGGAGTGTTTGTCTGTGCCCTCTGTGGGCTTGGCACCACTAGCCTTTCTATCCTAGAATATCAGCTCTAGGGGCGACTGTGTGAGGGAGGTGGGAGTGGCTTCATGTCCCCCAAATCAAAAAGGATTTCCTTGAGTTGCCAATCTGGATAGTCTGAAAGAAGAGGAGCATGGTGGGTTATTCTTCTGTTTAAAACTCCTCATGACTTCCTATTGCTTATTGGGCAAAGTTCAAAACCTTTCAGAACTTTCTAGGAACCCCAACACCTGGCCTTAACCATTTTCCAGCCACAGCCCTGGCTACCCCCATCTCCTCCTCCATACACACCCCAGTCTAGCTGTGCTGGGCTCCTGCTGTCCTGAAAGAGTATACATGTCCTCTCTGCACCTTGGTTTCATGCAGCTTGCTCTACCTAGAGTCACCTACTCCCTGATGGAAGGTGAAACCCTCACAAAGTTCTTTGTGAAAACCTTTCCTATCTCCTCCCCGCCCCACCCAATTAATCATTCCCTCCTCTGTGCTCCCCTTAGCACACAGTGTACAATTTGTATATCACTTTTTGTGCTGTAGTAACCAGAGGTTCATATTTCTAACTGCCACCCACCCCCAACACGCAGTGGTAGAAGACTCTCATTCCCAGAGAGAGTTCTTGCATTGTCCTAGGTACTAGGTCTCTCCAGCATCTAGAACATGTCTGACACATGTTGTTGTTATTGTAATTAGGTGCCATCAAGTTGGTTCTGACTCATAGTGACCCTGTGTACAACAACAAAACACTGCCAAGTATCGCACCATCCTCACAATTGTTGCTATGTTTGAGCCCATTGTTGTAGCCACTGTGTTAATCCATCTCGTTGAGGGTCTTCCTCTTTTTCACCCTCTACTTTACCAAGCATGCTGTCCTTCTCCAGCACTGGTCCCCCCGATAACATGTCCAAAGTATATAAAATGAAGTCTCACCATGCTCGCTTCTAAGGAGCATTCTGGCCGTACTTCTTTTAAGACATGTTTGTTTGTTCTTCCGGCCGTCTATGGTATGTTCGATATTCTTTGCCAACACCATAATACAAATGCATCAATTCTTCTTCAGTCTTCCTTATTCATCATCCACCTTTTGAATGCCTATGAGGTGATTGAAAACACCATGGCTTGGGTCAGGTGCACCTTAGTCCTCAAAGTGACATCTTTAATTTTTAACACTTTAAAGAGATCTTTGGAGCAGATTTGCCCAATGCAATACGTCATTTGATATCTTGACTGCTGCTTCCATGGGTGTTAACTGTGGATTCAAGTAAAATGAAATCCTTAACAACTTTAATCTTTTCTTTTTTTATCATGACATTGCTTATTGGTCCAGTTGTGAGGATTTTTGTTTTCCTTACATTGATGTGTAATCCATACTGAAGACTGTAGTCGTTTATCTTCATCAGTAAGTTCTTCAAGTCCTCTTCGCTTTCTGCAAGCAAGATTGTGTCATCTGCATATCACAGCTTGTTAATGAGTCTTCTTCCAATCCTGATGCCATATTTTTCTTCATATAGTCCAGCTTCTCGGATTATTTGCTCAGCACATAGATTGAATAAGTATGGTAAGTATGGTGAAAGGATACAACCCTGATGCACACTTTTCCTGACTTTAAACCACGCAGTATCACCTTGTTCTGTTCAAATGACTGCCTCTTGGTCTATGTACAGGTTCCTCATGAGCACAATTAAGTGTTCTGGAATTCCCATTCTTTGCAATGTTATCCATAATTTGTTATGATC